CAATTAATTTGGAACTGGAATTTTCTCCGCCTCCCATTTTTATCCATATATTTTCAATTGCCCAATAAACTACTTTACGGCATACTTGATTTCGGAATCCTTTACCTATGATATTTTAATTAATTAATAATTAATTAATTGTTAAATAAGGTAAAAATCATCATTTTATTTTATCAAATACGTACCACGGTATAGTGGGTGAAGTAAATAGGCTAACATATATAACCTAAAATCGAACTGCATCCACCTTTTATTAAATGCTTTAATGCATTGTTGTCGAAAAGTAGTATGAGTTTCTGATAAGCTTTTGATTGAATATGACAATTTTATTAATTGTAAGAAACAATCTGCTAACGTTGCATTTTTCATTTCTAAATATTTGATGGCTTCTTTTATTGGCTTAAGAATTAATTGTAATTCTTCAATATCCATAAAAAAACGCCTCGTAATAATTTCTTTGATATTTTGCTTTAGGTAATTCGGGTTATTATTTGCTATCTAAAATTAGATAAATTTATTAAAATTAATTAAAAATAAATAATTAAAAATAATCAATAAATACCAACATTTTTTAGAGCTTCTTCGCATCTTAAAACTGAAGAAACACAATCACATGCAGTCATCCATCTCGTTTGACAATACCCCTTTAATTTACCACCTTTAACCATATTTTCCTTTATTTCATCTGTTAATTCTGCACCTGCCCGATGAGATGCTTTAAAAAAATGAACTAATTTCATACATTTTTTTAATATTGATTGGGCAAACTCTAATTTACAAATATCATTGGTTAATAGATTTATATGATGTGCAATGCACCGAATTGGCATTATAAATCCATATCGATCGTTAACTAGCTTTTTTGCCATGACCATTGTAGATGCATTATCTGATACTATTCCTGCAAATTTTGTAACTCCAACATTTTCAATTACCTCAATTATTTTATTTGCTAAAAACTCTCCCGTATGTGAATAGTTTGATAAATTTTGAACTGAGTGAATATATTCTTTTCTTTCACCAGTAATAATAACAAATGCATAAAGTGATTGTCCACTAGTACTCGTCCAACCATCTACTCCTTTAAAAATTAAGAAATTACAATTAATAATTTAATTTATTATATTTTATAATAAATTATTATTACGTACCCAATGTAAGATTTTTTTCATTATTTAATTTAAGATTTATTTCAGTAATAACATGTGAAATTTCCGCATTAAGCATATCTTCTGTAAGAGTTTGTCTACATGGTGGATTATATCCCGGACATAATGTACGAAGAAGATCAATGAAAAAAGGGTTTTCAATTATATGAAAAGGGATACCGCAGCAAGCAAAAAATTTTACAATAGCACGATTTGCCATTTCAATTTTAGCTTGATCAATTTTGGTTGAATCAAATATCTCATCTATTTTTGGCTGATTGTGGCTAATTTTAATTTTTTTATTATAACCGAGATGTCCATTATTTTTTACTTTTTCCAGGAATAAAGACTTTACTTCAGGTGATACCTTTAAACAATTTAAAGCAATATGTCCTTGCATTTCAATAGGCTGACCTACTTGTTGTTTCCAGCCACAAAAATTACATTCTGCTGAACAATGCCCTCTATTTCTTGGCCCTTCCTTAAAATAATCCCAAATATCAGTTTTTGGACGACCACGTTTTTTTTTATTTTGATTAATAATTGTATTTTGATTATCATTACTGTCATCCATATTTAAAATATCTTAAAAAGATTTAAAAGAAGTATATTATAACGCGAAAGAATTATAAATTCTTTTTTAAATGTTAAAAAAAAAAATGAATGATTACTTTTTATAGTTTTTTTACTTAATAAATAAATTACTATTTATGGTTTAGATAGTTTTATTAATTTGGAAGTTGATCAAAATAATTTCGCACTATATTATCTATTAATTATATATATATATTTATATTAATTTAATTACGTCATATATAAATAATTACGTTATACGTAAATAATTACGTATTTACGTATTTTTCAAGTAATCTGGTAATTAATTACCAGGATTACGAATTACGTATTTATACGAAAATACTGAATTACCAGGCCATGTATATTCCAGATTGATACTTGCATCCAGCTCTTTGAGTTCCAGTAATAATTTACTGGAAGAGTCTTCTTATTAATATTTTTAAGAACTCGGGGATTTTCATATTTATGTATGAATAATGGGAGCATTTTTTCAGTTCCAGTTGCATTACAAGTAAACAAAACAGTTATACGATCTTTTGATTGTTTTGTTCCAGCAACAGGACCATTAGATATAGTGCGATTGGATCGCATTTTCCAAAAAAGACCTGTTTCATCACAATTAAAAATATCCTTAAGGTCATAATTTTTAAGAATTTGGCGCAAGTTTTCACGCATTATATCAAGATCTTGGAGTGGTGCACTTGCTGCTTCTCCATGCACATTATATTGTTTAAGGTTATGCCGTTTTTTAAAATTGTCAACCCACCCTTCTGATCCTTTAAATTTTTCTTTATTGCACAAAAAAGCAAACTCCAAGGCTTTAGTTGAAAGAATATCATCACTAATAATAAGGCCAGCCTGAAGTGCATTTTCTACCCAAAGAGTTAAAGCCTCTTCAATATTAATAAATGGAAGCTTTCTTTCACATCGCAGACCAGCTTGATATGAACTAAGATCCACTGCAAGCCAACGGTCTTTTTCCTTTAAAATATCACTAATCATCTCTTCACTAACCTCATACTCTTTGGCTAGTTCTTTTTGTTTTAAGGAAGGCGTGGATATTTTTTTTAAACAAACTTCTTTTTTTTGTGCAGCAGTAAGAGACTTACGTTTGTTAGTAATTGAAGGTTCATTAGAAAGTTGTTTTTTGGATAGGTTAGTAGGTTTAATTTTTGGCATTTTTTAAAAAAATATAGAAAATAAAAACGCGAAACATGAATTTTAATATAAAATTACAGAATATGCAGTATTGCTATATTTGAAACATGATTCGGTGTAAAATAAATGCTAAATTGTCCTTTATAGAAAATTTGCAAAAAAATAGCCCTCCATAAAAAAAATTGCAAAAATCTTCGTAATATTTAAAAAAAATTTGGTATAAAAAAAATTCGTTATAAAGTGACTCATTTTATATATGAAGTTTACACAATCTACTTCGTTATACGTTATACAGCATTTAATTAGTAAAATTTGGTATAACAAGATTTTTTAATATGTAAAATTCTGGACCACAGTGAAGATCTGTTGTACTAAAAAATTCGTTACATTAAAATTCGTTATAAAGCGAGCTGACTGTATAAGGTAAAATTTATGATTTCATAAAATTTATTAGTATATATTAATTTTAGTATAAAGAATTTTACTTTATAAATTCAATCAGTTTTTTTGATTATTCTATGTAATTTTTACCTTAGGCTTGTGAGTGATCTTTATTAGAAGTAAGCGGGATCCTTCTAATCCATTTGAAGCTCTATAGCAAAATTCCAATTAAGTTTTAAAAAAAAAATTGAACTTGAAAATGAAAATTTTTAAATTTTTTTCTTATTTTTTTTTATAGAAGTTTAAACTCTAATGTAAATATTAAGTTCTTAAGATAAGTTCAAAAAAAATCTGAAACTTTTATAATTTAACATTTATTTTTTTTTATTTTTTTTGTAGGAACTTCAGTTCTAGCATGGAAACTAACATTCCAGATGAGTTTCTAAATAAAAAATTCAATACTTTTATTAAAAAAAACTTATTTTTTTTTATTTATATTTTTGTAAAAACTTCAACTTTGATGTAGACACCAGTAAATTTTGAATAAAATTTGAAATTTTTATAATTTAAAAAAAAACTATTTTTTTTATTTTGTGAAAAACCAACTTTTCAAGTGAATTTCAAAATAAAATTTTCAAAATTTTTATAATTTAAAAAAATATTTTTTTTATTTTTTTTTGTAGGAACTTTAGTTCTGACTCTCTGAGTCACTGACTTGGATACTTAATTTCCAGATAGATTTCAAAAAAAAAATGTGAATTAATTCTTAATAGATAGCCATTAATAGTTGTTTTTTTTTTCCTTTTTTTAGATGTCAGATTTTTCTTTTAGGTGTTGGTAAATTTAAAGCTTCAAACCTTTTTTTTACATTTGTAGGTCTTTGTTCAGAAAAAGTACATAATTAAAATAATATGGAATATATTTTAAATGAATTTTATTATTTAATTTTATTTAATTATGTAATTATTGTGGTAGAATTATTTTATTAATATAATATCTTTATAATACTAATAATAATATACATGTTATAAATATAAATCATTGATGTTGTAATTATGTATAATATATCACATCTATTGTAATGCAAAATAAACCATGTTATAATCATATAAAACATATTGTAAAATTCATGTTATAATACATATATGACATAGTGTTTTAATATATTTACCACTATAATAGCAGGTTGGTGCTCATGAATTTTATAACATCTTATGATAGGGTTTTTATATGGTTATCAAAAAGTCTATATTGATAGTAAAGTTCATCCAGAAAAAATGGATGAGGTAGGAGCATTTGGTTGAGAATCTTCAACAACATAAATGGCACAATAATTATGAATTTATTATTATCAGAGAATCCATAAATAATATCCTATTTGGCATAAATCCCATTTAATTATATAATTTAATTTAATGTATTGTTCTTTGGAGTTTGGATGATTTGAGTCAACATTAACAGATTCTGCCATCATTCTATGGTACAGGTTATTTCCCCAGTCAGTTTTTGATGTAATAAACTCAGGACTTAAAAAGTCACCAAGGAACTTTGGAACAAAGCCAGTATTAAATAGAGCAATATGAAAATGCTCTTGTTTTGAGATAAAATTACATGTTTCTGTTTACTTATCATCAGGATCGTATTTATCAAAAAACATTTTGAGTGCTGATGAATAACTCAAAGGCTTGAGACGTACCAAAACTTTATTATATCCTGTTTGTAAAAAGTGAATGTTGTCTAACCCTAACCCTAACCCTAATGATTGCAGACATTCCTGTACATATTGGGATGATAAAGAATTCATGCTCACTTTTGTTCATCTTCTGATTGGACATGAAAGAACCAATCTCATTTAACATATCTTTAAAGAATTTACGGGCATCCTCCCATGATATCTTTTTGTCCCATTGAACATCATCAATATATATTTGATACTCGTCGATATGGATGATGACATCCTCAAGAGGTCAACGCAATGCCTGAAGCCACTGCAATACGTGCTCCAATTCGCACACGCATTTTATCAAGTTTTTGGAGATACTTGCACCCATCATTAAAATTTATAAATATATAGCAAGGATCATTGAGGGAATCCTTAACCAAGTTTATTCTACCTATGTTCATCAATGCTGACTCTTCTGCATAGGAGATCAGATGTTGCGTCTCCATTCCCACTCGCGATTTTCCTATCCCTGATCCACCGGGAACCAGAATAAAATAATGACTTCGGTGATAGGTTAACAAGCGGTTGGTATAATTCATGTTGGCAATCATTGCAATTTGATTTATAGCTTGTTCACGATCATAGAACTTGTGGTCAAAAACTCGTCGAAAAGGAGAAATTGGCTGTTGAGAAGAAAGAACAGCAACTAATGTGGTGGCTGGAAGGAATGAATGATGAATGAGAAATGGCAAATTTCTTGTTCGAAAGGTAAAACGCTGAGAGACACTTACCAGTGGTGGGTGCTTGCACGATGATGTGAATGGCAGACTTGCTCTCCTTATCTTTAAAACTATTCTCATTGAAATATTCATCAAGAGGAAATCGAGGTGCATCAATTCTCCTCCATAGAAAATGTTTCAAGCAACTCGTCGTTCTTGTCGACACTAACACGGTCAACCTTCCAAAGATTCAGATTGTCAGGAGAATAACTAATTCCTTTTTCAGACAAGATAAGAGATTTGACATGTGAAACTTCATATTTGATCCTATTATTGCCAACGATAATTTCGTCACTAATATCAACTGAAATAGATCGGATAGAAGCTTCTCCCAGAAATAGACAATTTAAGGAGAAAATCATTTTGAAGGTATTTTTCTGTAAAATTATAAATGGTATTTTTATTAGTTTTAAGCGAAGTTTAGAGAAATTTGAGAGAACGTTTGAGGGTATATATATACTTCTGAATACATCATGATGATTTAGTTAATTATAAAATGATCTTTATAAACTCTTAATTTGTGACACGAAATATGATATAATGATATAAGCCGCATAGTAAAAAAAAAGTTTATAAAATTAAATTTATCAAAAAAGTGATTCACACGATTTCTATTCGGTTGTACAGTGACCGTCGCAGTAGCCAATAAAATTAATTTTATGTAAATCTCACTATAACGATAAAATTACACCTGATGTAAGATTTCACGTTACTGACCACCCACGAAAAAATTATTGAAGTCCGGAATTTCACAATTAAGGTATGAATAAAGTCGTTTGTGGTTGTTCATTCTATTTTTTTTGTTATAAAAATCTTTGAAGTGCTAGCTTGTTATTGGATGGCGAGGACCTTATTAGGTGGAGAAACCTCTTTTTCCAAAACGCTTAAATAATTAAATCGCTCTTTTGCTTTGTTCCCTCAGTGAATAACTCCGATAATTCGCGCTTTGACTATTCAAACTTTCGGTGAGTATTACTAAGATCAATATTGTTAATTTATTTCTGACTCTGTATGTTCTATGCATAACTGACGACCGTTTTATTTTATCCAGAATACCGATGTTGGGGACAAATGAAATCGGATTAGAGTATTTAATGTTGGGATATTATGTTAGTATAGACGGTTTAGATGAACGAAACACCGTCAGGCATTAGTATAGAGACTCTATTTCACTTTGTAAAACAAGTTTATGTATTACCGAATCTTGTAATTCATTTTTACATCAATAAATCAGAAATTCCGATCGTCCCGGTTTTTTTATCTATGCTAACGAACTTTTGAATTATTCCATCTCATAAAAAATTATCATCGAACATGCAATCCACTGATTCATTGAGAGATGCTAAGCTCTTAGCTGAGATTTCCTGTTCCACAATTATATTTTTATCCAACTTGGCAATAACTTCATGTTGATCGGATTTAAGTTCCTCTGTGTCACATGACTCCGATCGTGAAGAATCTTCACGGTTTTCAAGATTACATGTTAATTTGGATGCATTAACTCGCGGTTGCTTTGATAAGACCGCAAGATGCTGATCTTATGCTCTCAGAACTAGCCTCATAAGATTGTGATAAGTCTTGCTCGTCTTGCTCTGAAATTAATATGTCCGCGACCTCGGGAATTTTAGTCACGTCCTGAGAAATTACGAGTGCCTCTTGATCTCTCTGTTTCTTTTCCCGCCTCCTCTCTCTAATCTCATTGCTAATGCATTTCTTATACACATCATCCAAGGAATCGACCATTTCCTCATTACCATCAAGGTCACTAGGTGCTCGTCCTATTTCATTAATGAGTTGGTCTATTACAGAATCGGGTACATCATGTGTCTGACCAAATGGCAACGCCATCCCATCCATTGCTGAACTCTGTTCTAATAATGCAAGTCTAGCCTCAAGCTCTCCGACTCTAGACTTGAGTTCGGCATTCTCAGCATCACGCCTTGCATTCTCTTCAATAACTTGCTTCAGCCTCGCATTTTCAGCCTCAACCTTAGCAAATCTTAGTAACTTCTCTCTAAGTTCAGGAATCTCAGCATTCTCCTTCCTAAGCTTGGCAATCTCAGCTAAGAGCTTGGAATTTAATTCTCTCAATGAATCAATGGATTGCATGTTCAATGATAATTTTTTATATAAGATGGAATAATTCAAAAGTTCATCAGCATAGATAAAAAATGAGGTAATATCCTCATCAGAATTACTGATTTATTGATGTAAAAAAATAAATTACAAGATTCAGTAATACATAAACTTGTTTTACAATGTGAAATGGCTAATGTCTGCAGACTACACCATTTTTTCGCTTGCCTATGCTACTAATACATATTATCCCACTCCATGGTCCCAGTTTCATTGTCCCAATTCTCAATATTCTGAATAAAATAGTTAGTTATACATGTATGAGGTATGCAGTGTCAGAATGTGATAATAATATTAACTTTACACCAAAATTTTATGTTATTTGCAATCTGTGATCCTAATAAAGTCCTCAGAAATCTAAGAGAAAATATTATTAGTAGTTTGCAAGTCCTGGAATCATTTTCTTGTAAAAGTACAGCCACAACTGAAAAAGATGTACTCCATTCATACCTTAATTGTCTCATCCAGACTTCAATAATTTTTCATCAATGCTTCTTTTTGGGTAGCCAGAGTGAGAAAAAAAAAGTGAAAATCTTACATCATAGAGCTTCATTTGTAAATCACACTGATTAGTTCAATTGTATAACCACTTATATAACCTAAAATTATGTTCACCATTTTTAAATCACAACAAGCATATCTTCTGAACTTGATGATATCAAAAATATGTATATAGATGATCTTACAAAAGAGTCAAATTTTAGAAAAAGTCATAAATTTCAAGATAATTTAAAATAAACCTGTAATTATGCATTACAAATATTAAGCATTATTCAATTATTTTTACTATTAATTTGAAGATTGTTATTCCAATTGACAATAGGCCAATTGAGATTCCAAATTGGATCCAGTAAACTCCAAAGATAATAGTAAAAGTTACACAAATAAAATAAGCACTAAAGCTAAAAAATCTAAACCAAAGTAATTTATTATCATAGTGGTAACCATTTCTTACTATCACAATGGTTGCTTCAAATACTTATATGATATAAATAATTCTATTAAATAATGCTACAGAATATTTTGTAATTTCTACAGGTCGAAAAGTGAAAAATCAGATATCAATCAGTCACTAATCAGCCCTATAAAAAGTATTATACTTAAAATATATTTAATTTAAAAATTGCAAAATACTTATAATATACTTAAAATGTATTTAAAATTATCTTAAAATATATTTCTAATATATTTAATTTTTGCTTAAATACTTAAATTATTATAAAATTTAAGTATATTTTAAATATGGTATGAGTTATCAATAGTCCAAAATTTTAAAATGATGATTATCACATGATTTATTATGTGTAACAATTTTTATTGGATAAGATTAGCTTATACAAATGAATTTCATTGCATAAAAAAATTAAATTTATTCATTTATAAATTTATTTAACTCTTTCAAAACACTCTCCAGAATTCTTCTGTGAGATTTATATTTTTTTATAGTATACTCCACCAATTTTCCATCAATACCTTTTCTGTAAAGGTCCATATAATGCTAACATTTTCTTGAGAACTTTCTAATAGTTGTCAAGTTTACTGAATTAAGACTTTTAAGAACAATTTTTTGTAATCCCTCCTATAAATAATTACAATTTTCACGTAAATATCTTTTAGCAGCATCCCAATTAGGGATGGATGTTAATTAACTATAGTTAATTAACCATAGGCCAATTTTCTAAAAGAGTATAACATAAATTATATAAAAATTGGTTTAATTATTTAATAATATGCAAATTAAAAAATTAGATACATTTTTAATTTATGCTAAATTTTTGATAACTTTAGGGTGTTATGCACTATATATAAAAAAATATACTTATAATAGTCTTATAATATACTTAAATTTTAATTTAAATATAATTTAAATATATTTTAAATATATAGGCAAAAATTAAATATATTAGATATATATTTTAAGATAATTTTAAGTATATTTTAGATATATTAAAAATATATTATAAGTACAGTCAGACCTTTATAATTGCACTTTCCATAATTACATCCACTATGTATATCCTCTCTAAATGCACCCTCTAATTTGGTCCTAAGCTTATATGATCTCTAATTATTTTACTTCTATAAATGCACACTTTCTTTAAATGCACTATTTTGAAAATTATGCATATGGTTCTAAGAGGTGTGCAATTATGAAGGTCTGACTGTATTTTGCAATTTTTAAATTAAGTATATTTTAAATATATTTTAAATATAATACTTTTTATAGGGCTAATTGGTGATGGTATTTGGCAAAAATGCCAATCAGTTACCAATCAGCTACCTGATTGATGACTGATTGGTGCCGATTGGTGACTGATTGATGCCTGATTTTTCACTTTTTGACCTGTAAATTTACATTTTGCACATTTTTTATTAAAAATAATAATAGATATAAAAGTCAATATAATCATGATAATAATGAATATAAGTGTATAACTGTCTTAAATGGCAAAAATAAGATAAAAGTATTACACAGTTTCAGTTTACTACTATATGAATCATACTAGTGATAAATTTCCTTAAGTAAACATACTCTCTTTTCTTTTCAAATAAACTGTCTTCAAGTACACTGATTTTTCTTAATCAGTTTTACACTTTTCGTATGCTCTTTTTTAGCATCAAGTTAAATCTTTTCAAATTTTTTGTAATTCCTTATCATTTATTTCTACACCAAATAAAGCACTAATTAGAAAATGATTAGATCAGAAGATAATAACTATATGTACTACAATTTAACCTTCATCTTTACCTCTGTTTTTTTTTGAAAGAATAGCTTTCAAATAAATACTTTGCTATCAGTGGTGATTTTTTTGGTAGTATTTTATAATGCTTTTTAAATAATATTAATAGGAATTTTGACAATATCATATTTAATAACATATATATTAATAAGTCTATTAACAAGTATGATATTTAATATTAATATTGTAACTAATATAAAAGAATAATTGTCATATATTACAAAATTATTATTTTTTTATATTTCATTGTAATATGGTATTTTAATATATATTAAATTATAATAGCAATTATATTGTCAATTATTACAAAATATATATTACAGGATTATTATATGGTAATCAAAAAAATAGGTACTGATAGCTAAAGTATTTTTTTCATTATTTGTTTTATACCTTTTATATTCTTCTTGTTAGCATTGAGTTAAACTTCTTAGCATTTATTATAATTCCCTCAAGCTTTACTTCTATGCCAAAATAAAGTGCTAGTTATTAGAAAATGAGACAATAACTATATATACTATAACCTTACCTTTATTCTTTCCATTGTGTATGTTAGAATTATAGGAATAAATATTACCAATATTAAATTGTTTGTATTTTTTCATGGTTGAAGAAAGATTTTTTTGGATCAATAATTTTATGGAAAGGTTTCAGTTATATTAAATTTATTGGCTTATATATAATTTAGAATAAACTTTCATTAAGTTTTATTAATTATATAATTATATAATTATATGAATTTATTGTATTAAACTATTAAATTTTACTGATTATTAATTGAAAACATGTTTTATAAATTAGGAAACGGGAACTGTTGTAAGTCCAGAGTGAAAAACTAAAATTTGCAATTTCATTGGGTGATGATTACGTAGCAGACAGAGAAATTCACATGATCATTTTTTTTCATAGTGTATAATAGTATTGGTTTCCGTAAATAGTTGTAAGTCCAAAAATCAAGTAAATATAATAGTTGTAAATCAAAATTACTATCTTTTAGCTAATTACAATAGTGTAGTATTTACAGCTAATTTACAACTTACGTTTATAATATTACAACCGCTAAAGATTGTAATTTGATATATAATAATTGTTACTTATGGCAACTAACCTTAGTGCATAAACATATATTGTTCTTTGTTTCACTCTGAACAATCAGTTATCAGTACTCTGAAATATGTAACATCAGTTTATCTGTTGATAAAAATACAATTATTTCTAACCAATATCTAAAAAATTTGAATCATCATGAAATATTACAAATTAAGTAATATCTTATTACATTATTTAATAATACAATATAGTAAATATAATTTATTATTATACTGTATATAAAAATAAATATAAAGAATTGAAACTTGTCTGTAATATATGATATCTATATTAATACTTTATTCTATTATTCTATTTTTATCCACTTTGATAAACCCTGTAATTTAAAATATCTACTTGATTTCCAAACAAGTTTTCGATAGACTTTACTAAATTCTTATGGTTTAAAATAAAGTTATTAATTAGTAATGATGAAGGTGATAAAGATCTCAATAACATTTTTACCTTTCCTTCACTATTATTTAGAGCTAGATGAAACTAGTTTGATTATAATCCAATCTACAGCAATCTTATATATTACATCTTTATATAAACTTGCCATATTATAGCTACATTTTTTAGGATTGCGTTAAATAGATATTTGCAGTGTAAACGTATAACGGTCGAATATCAAGCATAAAAAGATGATAAAATTCAATCACCAAATGTAATTGCCAAATATTAAGAACGAACAAATTAATCATGAATTAGCGTAGATGGATAAATGATTAGCCGAAAAGGATAAACATTTAGGAAGAGTAATGATCTACATGATGTAATATTTATCGAATGATTAACAAAGAACCAATAGAATAATTAGAGTCAATCAATTGCGGCTTAGCAATCTTTAACAATAGGAACAATTAGAAGGGATAATTATAAGCCACAAAAGATAGATTATAAGCAAAACACATAAAGTGGGAAGATAGTGAATTAAAAGAACATATAAAATAATGTCAGAAAGATTAAAGAACATAGAATAATATAAAAGATAATATAAAAGATAATATAAAAGATATTATAAAAAGATAATATAAAAGATAATATAAAAGATAATATAAAAGATAATATAAAAGATAATATAAAAGATAATATAAAAGACAATATAAAAGATAATATAAAAGATAATATAAAATATAATATAACATATATTAAAAAGATGGAGTATAAAAGATAGAATACAACATATTAAATAGCATATTAAAAGATAGCATATTAAAAGATAGCGTATTTAAAATATAGATAGCATATTAGAAAGACAGTTCAAAGATAATATATAAAAAGAACATAAAAGATAGTATATAGATAGCATATATTAGAATAGAAAGTATTATAAAATTTGTATAAATAGAGAGCAGAATTCAAAGTAATTCCACAGTTCTAATTCACAGAACTCAATAAAAATATAAGTTTCATTTAATTATTTGTTAGTAAAGTTTAATATTAATTTAAAGGTAATAGGTTCGCCCTAAACTTTAATTAATGTTTGCTAAATTAATTTTAATTGAATAAAATGAAGATTTTAAGATGAATTAAATATACACTTTTGAAAAGTAATAATTCGTAGTGAGAGCTATCGAAGTTTGAAATTAAAGGTAAAAGTGGACATAATTTGGGGAAAATTCAGAGAAGTTAAATTTATTTTATGTCGTTTGACGTTTTATATTACTAATGCTATTTATTTCATGAACCAAGAATATTGTTTTATGTTGCTGTTTATTAACTCATTTATTCGTTTAATTGTTCGTTCGTTCATTTATTCATTCGTTCGACCATGAGAATGCCTATTCGACGTGGCAACTCTGTAAATTGATGACAGAGGAATAGGGAGATCTCAGCAGTTAGATTGCATTCTATACAATATTTTGATTGATATCCTTTTTTTTTTACTTTAGTAACTGTGATAATTGTATTTCTCACTTTTATAATCCAATCAACTGATCCTTTGCTATAGCTTTCAGAAATTTCATATTGAAGATAGACTTTTACCTCATTATCAAAGATTGATGCAACATCGTAATTAATACAAAAAATAAACTTGCAACAAGTGGCTTCATTAGTGCTAGTGATGTATTGAAATATTTTGTGTAATCTCAATAATTTATTTATAACTAAACTTCAAATTTCTTTCAGAATATCCTTAATACCTTCATCAAAAAGTGGTAATCTGTTATAATTGTCTACCTTCAAATTGAAAACTACTTTCATCTTTGAGAAAATATACAAAAAGAAAGGTTATTACGCTACAAAAACAGCTATGCATAAATTAACTGATCAGATATTTAGTAGAATCAGCATGTAAATATCCTAAATATCTAAATAGTACTTATACATATTCACAATAATTTTCAGATTTACCTTAGGGTTAGTAGTCCAGATAATGTTCATTAAATCCTCATCAGCAGAAAACTAAATAACTTTATGCTCTGTCACAATCTCAACTATATCACTCCTACTGTTGCATTTTGAGAACTCAAATCTAATTTTTTACACATTTTACCTGTTAAAATTTTTCTCTTCAAGCCAGCACTGCCTATTATATAGTTTATTATAATATACCTATTTTATCTCAACAGGATGCTGTATAATTATATGAATATATTTATCAGCTAGCTAAAAGGTAAAATGTTTGCTAATTTTTGAAAGAGATTTCAACTCTACACCTTCAAATTCACCTTTAATATTAATGTTAATTTTTTATTGATGAGCTTAAGTTTTTTATTTAGTTCTTCAAGAAAAATGTTAACCTTTTATAACTTGAGTTCTTTGAATGCAACATTATTGAAAAAAAGCTTTTAGTTCTTCTTAATAACATATGCAATTTTACAATCATTAAAATTCTTTTATTAAGACAAATCCAATGATTTAAATTTTATTAAAATTGAATTACTAGTTATATTAAAAATAGGGATATGTAGGATAACAGAATTTTGAAAATATTCCTATAATATGCTACTTTTAAAAAATTTTAATATAAACTCTAAACAAATTCAAATGTGAGTTATATCAGTATTATTTAGAATCCTATCATTATGTCCTTTATTTTTTAAAAAAATAACAGATAATATCTTTTTTATTCTTACTTTTTACTACATATCAAAAATTAAATATGATATATATTTATTATTTATTTTTTTTTCTTTTATTTTTTCAATAAAACGTTTACTAATGTTTTACTAATTTCTTTCTTTTTTTAAATTTTGGGTAGTTAAACATTAGAATTGAAAGGTAATATTAAAAAAAAAATTCTTTTTTATTGATTTTTTTAATAAAGTATTTACTAATATTTTGCTTGTTTTTTTTTTTTAAATTTAAGTAGTTTAATACTGGTTTAGAAGGTAATATTTGAATTTTTTTTTGGATTTCTTTAACAAAGCATTTTGCTAATATTATTTTTTTTTAGATTTCAAGTAATTGGATATTAGAATTGGAAAAGTAATATTTGAAAAAGTAATTTTGTTGATTTTTTAATAAAATATTTGCTAATGTTTCATTATTTTCTTGATTTTAAGAATTGAAAAATTAGGAAGTTTAATTTTTCTTTAGAATTTGGATTTGATTTTTATTTTTTACTTCTTATTCCACAATATTAATTTTATTTTTTTATTTTATTTTTTATTTTTATTTTATTTCTTTATTCCATATTTTATTTTATTTTCTTTTCTTTCTTTCCTCTTTTATTTTCTATTTCATTTTGTTCTTTACTTTATATTTTTTTACTTCATGTTTATTTTATTCTTTACTTCACATTTTTTATTTTATGTTTCATTTCATTTTTTACTTTATGTTACATTTATTCTTTATTTTATATTCATTCCATTTCATTTTTTACTTCATGTTTCATTTTGTTCTTTATTTCATGTTCTATTTTATTTCTCCATTTTGTTTTTTACTTTTATTTTATTTTGTGATTTACTATTTTATTTTGTACTTTATTTCCTGTTTTATTTTGTATTTTATTTTTACTTTTTCTTATCCCTTTATTTTTTTTTACTTTTTTTTTTCTTTTCCTCTTCCTTCATTTCTTTCTCTTTTGTTTTTTTTCTCTTTTCTTTTCCTTATTTCATTTATTTTATTCTTTTTTTACTTATAAAGTTCAATTATAAAATCAAATAAAATTAAATTGGGCAATACAAAGTGGTAAAAATGGTTTTCATATTCTGGCCAAATCAGTTTTTGTTAAGTTTTAAAAAAAATTTTTATATTATTATTATACTAGATAAGAATTTTTTAAAAATTGAAAAAAAAAATTAAAAGCTGAATTGCTGGATTATTGATGAAATTTTTATAACTAAAAACCATAAAATTAAGTTTATATGGCTCTTAATCATATTTTATAAAAAATTTTAATAAAAATTCATATTTTTATTCATATAATTATTAAAAAAAAAGTCATTTTAACTAAGTTTTAAGTTTTTTTTTCAATAAAAAAAAATAATAAATTTTTCATAAAATTAGCCAATTAAAAATTTTATATGGTAATAGAATCATCAAGTAATAATGTCTTATAATGTTACCTTTACATTTATTTGACCAAATATTTTGTACAATAAATCTTTATTACATTTCCAGTTAGATATACTATATTTTTAATGAATGTTAATGGCTGTAAATCTTTTCTTATCTAATTTATGTCCTCTATAATAAATAAATAATGTTATATAATAATTAATTCAAAAATAATTATTTAAAAAATAAAATTTATAATAATAAAGAATTCTAATGATAGTAAAATTGAATTCCTAGCTTCAATATTGACAGAGTTATATCATAAAATGTATTTTTACTTTAGTACTTAAAGTTTAGTATATACTGTAAATATATATTATGTACTAAATAATAGCAGTTACCAATTTGAGATACTTTTCACAACGATTGCTTAATGCATATGCTACTTCTGCAACGTTTGTATTATCAGGAAATGCTATTCATACTTTGTTATCAATCTTTGACATTTGTTTAATAGTGATGTGATAACCCAATTTTGATGGTAAAATGTAATCCAACTTAATAATAAATTAATAAAATTTATAATTTAAATATATATAAATGAAATGATAAAACAGCTTTATTATTAAATATAAATACACTAATACAGACTAGAGTATATTTCTGATTCAGCTGACAGAAATGCATACATATTACATATTATTTTTTACACTATCATCATAATGCTTTTCCCAAATTTTTCTATATAATAATTATGCAATAATAGTTAAATAAACAAATTAAAAATTTATATTTACCTCTTATAATATACATGACAAGATTTGAAAATATAAATTAGATGTTCTTCCCAACTTTTTGTTCCATCTATTTTATTTAACACAAATCCAAAACCTTTAGTCTAAGCATAATCTAAATCTGCAATGATGCAATTCCAACCAGCTTTATGAATATGTTGAATATATTGAAATTAAACAGATGATCCTGTTAATTGTTTTATAAGATCAAATAGAGCATGAAACATTCTTTGATAAGCAATTGTATTTGCACTATTAATTTTGTAAAAATGCGTTACAAAGTCACAAAAATTGTGAATAATTATAAATGACTCCAAGAATTTCACACCCCTGTGGATGGATCTCTTTTTGGATCTTATCTACATAGAGCAGCATTGTTTAAAGAGGCATGCGCATCAGCAAGATATTCTGTTCCAAAATATGTCTTTATAAGATTTCCTATTAAATAGAAAAATATTAGGTATTTTTAAGATTTAATATAGTATTATTTCTACCTGTTATGATGTTACATCTATTGTATCATCATTTGCTTGGCGAATTAGCTCTTGTAAATGATCCCGAATAGTAACTGGTACATGGCTAGGTTGAGGAGGTGAATTCCTTTATATATAAGAATAATATATGGGCATTTTTCTAAGTCATGTGGAATTATTTTAGTATATTTAACTCCACATGTTTTTCGGATTATGGAGCCTTGTTTAATAATATTGCCTGCACGATGTGGATGTGCTGTAAAAAAAATACTTATATAAATAAATGATTAACAACAAATTCAATTAACATTATTATACAGTATTTTAAACTTACGCGGTCAGCTTGTTTTTTTTTTGAATTATTATGCAATATTGTGGAACAGTTGTTTACTGGTTCATCTGTTTCACCCTAAATTATTTAAGTAAATGGCTAAACAAAGTAAAATAAAATAATTAAAAGATTCAAAAATTATATCTGACTTCGTACTGTCCATTTAAAAGTTGTGAAAGTAAATCAAGATCCACATCATCTTTAACACTAATAAATCGGTGATATTTTTCATTTATTTTCCATTCAGAACAACCAATAAAATAAGATGGTGGCATTGTATTATCATGGCGTCATAAGCATTTTAATACAGGATTTCCAGTACATTGCATCCCATTTTGTACATATCAGCCAAATATACACTATAAAATAAAATAGTCATAATGATTATCATCATAGAAAATGACAAGTTGCACGAGTAATACTTACGCAAATGTAGTATTTTCTTTATTGGTTGATAATTCATGATTTATTTTTAGACGCAAATCCGAATCAGGATCTACCGATTTATGTTCCATTTCTTTAAGTTCTGAATTAGCAAATTCACATATTTTTAGCCCTTACAAGTTCTCTCATTTTTACTTATGGCAATATTGCCAAGATAGTCTTGTTTTGTCCATCGGGTCTACCCATAGAATACTGAATCTTAAAATAAAATTAGAATTAGTAATATCATTTCTAATTATAATATCAATATTCTTTTAAACAAATATTCACATCTGAAAACGCTGCTTCTTTATTTTCCTATCTTTCAATATGATATATAATTGCAACACCTTTTTCACTTGTTGAAGAATATTCAATTAGAACTAGCGAATGGATTATTGTTTTAACAGTTACATGTTTCATAGTATAAATTTCTGTATCTTCTTCTGACTCAGAAGATATGTCATTTTGCTATATAATATGTTAAAATAAAATTTTATTATATTATCATTTGGATTACTCTAAACATTCATATAAACAAATACCTCAATAAGATCATCTTCATAAATGATATTTTCTCTATTAACAAAACTAGTATCCATAGTAGATATAGCGAGACAATTTATTTTACGCGAAATAACAAGCAGACAATATTGATATTTCTTTCGCATGAAATAGCTTTATAAATTTTATGTATGTATAGGTAAAATTTTTTCGTGAAAAATAATATTCTTTCTTGTAAAATAACCTTAAAAAAGTAAAAATATTGTACTGTGTATGTGAAAATAATATATTTTTCACGTAAAACAATCAGAAATAATATTTTTTTCGCGTAAAATATTTAAGTAAAGATATTAGATATATTAAGAAAAATGATTTTCACGTAAAACAAGTGAAAATGATATTTTCTTTCGTGTAAAATATTTGTAAGTGAAGATATATTAACAATAATTTTCATATAAAATAAGGATAATATTTTCTTTTGCATATAAATTCATATATGTGAAGCTTCGTGTGGGTTCGAGTGACGGTGTAGGACAATAAGATGATTGATAATTGTATGTTGGCGCAGAAGAGTGATACAAATTACAAATTATGTAAATTATAATTATTTGTATTTGGTTAACCCGACACTACTCCTAACTCGATTATGGAAGTTCTAAAGTCTTAGATTCATCATACTTATCTGCATATTAGTTTAATTATTTTATTTTATTTAACAGAGAAGAAAATTTTGTCTACACCGCCACAGTAATTTTCGAATTTAAAAATATTTAGGGACGTCTATTAATAAATTAAAAAAAAAGTATTCAAAAAGTAATTTATTCATAGATTGGCTTGATGTGAATTTCTCGGTATGTCTCGGAAATGTCTCGGACTCTCCTCGGAAATGTTTTTTTTCGTATGGTTGGTCAATCATTCTCAATGGTATTCACCAATTTATGATTAATATTTCCTAATTAATTTAGAATATCGGTTAAATTATCGGGAAACCGGGTGAATGTATTTTAAACTATCCAAATCTAGGTAAAAAAAAGAAAGAATACTGCGTAGAATAATTAATGTTGTGAATCATAAAAAAAACAATGATTTCAAATCAAAATAAAATTCCCGAATTCTTATAATAATTAAAAGATCAAAATTTCTTTATAAATACGTTTCAATACCTTGTTTAATTTTCAATTAAAATATTTTTTTTCAAAAAAAAAAAAAATATATAATAATAAACAATTTTCTTTTCCCTTTTTTTTTTGTTGTAAAAAAATTCGTGAAAAATGACTATTACAATTTTCGGAGACCCTGCATCTCCTTTCAGTCTTATCTTAATATACGTCCTTAAAGAATTAGGATTATCTTTTGAAAACGTTCCAACAACCTACGAAGAAATTAAAACTCCAGAATATTTGGCTACCAAACATCCTTTGTAAGTGAAAAGAATTTTTTCTTTCTCTGAATTATATACGTCAGGAGTTACTGATTTGATCTTTCCCTCTTTTTTTTAATAGCGGAAAACTTCCTTTTCTCAACGATAACGGATTCCAAATTTACGAAACTCGTGCAATAGCTCGTTATTTGATAAAAAAATATCAAGGAACCAAAACTTCCACCGTTCTTATTCCTTCTGATGTACAAAAAGCCGCTTTGGTAGAACAATTTATTTCAGTAGAGACTTCTTATTATACTCAACCTCTGGTAAGATTGTTAATGTCGAAGAGAATACAAGGCAATGAGCCTGATCTTAAAATTGCTGACGAAGCTCGCGAAGAACTTGGCAAAACTTTAGATGTTTATGAAAAATTATTGGAGGGTAAAGATTATTTAACTGGGAAAATTTCTTTAGCTGATATTATTCATGTTCCTCTTACCTATTATGCTATTAACTCTGTTGGTGAAGGTGATTTATGGAATAAACGTCCTAATGTTTCTAAATGGGTGAAGAACCTTAATGAACGTGAAAGTTGGAAAAATATTGTTACTGAATATAATTTATCAGAACAAATTAGCAAATATACTAAAGATTCTAATAAGTAGCTTATTCTTTGTAAATTATACTGTGTAAATAATAGCGTATTTTAATATATTTCTTTTACTTCAAATAAATTCAATATTTAAATAACTTTATATCGCGATTCCGCATACTGTCACGTATTATGTCGATGAAAGTTTGTGATATCCCAAAGTATTTATTAATAATCGACGTCAATATTTAACGGTCTTATTAATAAATAACCATCGCGACGCATAATCGAGCTGTCGGCAAAATTTGTTACCGAATGCAAATTTTGTCGGAATAGCCTATAATATACATATTATCTATAGTTTTATTTGTATGAGTCTAACCGATGCCCGATAAAAATTTACCTTAATAGTTATTAAATAGCTCATAAATAAATATTTAACCGATTTTATACGAGCAGTTGGCAAAGTTTGTTACCGTTTCGGAATATATAATTTTGGTCATAAGGTATAAGACGCAAATATAACATAGTTTCCTTTAGTTGCATTAGTTAAAATAAAAGAAACATGTGACTATTATCTAATTAAAGAGATAATTTTAAATATATTTTGTATACCAGATACTGTATAATTAACTGATTAATTCATCTTGTGAAATTATGGAAGTTCTAAAGTCTTAGATTCATTGATAATAGTTTATTAAATTTATTTTCAGATAATTTTTGTCTACACTGCTACAAGATACTTATGGACATCTGTTAATAAATAAAAAAAAGTATTTAAAAAATTCATAATTTAGTATGGGAATTTTTTTAATCTACACCGCCATAACCTAATTTAATGAGACTTTTCTGGGACGTCAAATACTCAGCCTGTTTGGAAATGTTTAAAGACTTCCTTTAAAGGTTTAGTCGGTCGACTATTTCGATATCTTTCAGACCGGAAACCGGACGAATGAAATTTAAGGAATACTGCGTAGGATTTCAAATCAAAATAAACTTCCCCTTGGACTACTAATTAAATAATCAAATTTCTTTTATAAATACGTTTCAAAAAATACCTTGTCGAATTTCAATTAAAATATTTTTTTTTTTAATAAAATAATAATAATAATAAATTTTCTTTTTTCCCTTTTTTTCCTTTTTTTGTTGTAAAAAAAAATTCGTGAAAAATGACTATTACAGTTTTCGGAACCCCCGCATCTCCTTTCACTCTTATCTTAATATACGTCCTTAAAGAATTAGGATTATCTTTTGAAAACGTTCCAACAACCCACGAAGATATTAAAACTCCAGAATATTTAGCAACCAAACATCCTTTGTAAGTGAAAAAAAAAATTTTTTCTTTCACTGAAGTTACATACGTCACAGATACTTCGTAAGTTACTAATTTGATTCTTTCCCTTCTTTTCTTTTAATAGCGGTATATCTCCTGTTCTTACCGATAACGGATTCCAAGTTTACGAATCTCGTGCAATAGCTCGTTATTTGATAAATAAATATCAGGGAACTAAATCTTCCACCGTTCTTATTCCTTCTGATGTACATAAAGCCGCTTTGGTAGAACAATTTATTTCAGTAGAGACTTCTTATTATACTCAACCTCTAGTTAAATTGCTTACGCAATTAATATCGGTGAGAAGACAAGGAAATGAACCTGATCTTAAAATTGTTAACGAAGCTCGCGAAGAGCTTGGGAAGACTTTAGATGTTTATGAAAAATTATTGGAGGGTAAAGACTATTTAACTGGGGAATTTTCTTTAGCTGATATTACTCATCTTCCTCTTACATATTATGCTATTAACTCTGCTTGTGAAGGTGATTTATGGAATCAACGTCCTAATGTTTCTAAATGGTTGAAGAACCTTAACGAACGTGAAAGTTGGAAAAATATTGCTACTGAATATAAATTATCAGAACAAATTAAATTTACTAAATATAATGGGTAAACAATAGCGTATTTTAATATATTTCTTTTACTTCAAATAAATTCAATTTTTAAATAACCTTATATCGCGATTCCGCATACTGTCACGTATTATGTCGATGAAAGTTTGTGATATCTCAAAGTATTATTAATAATCAGCGTCAATATTTAACGGTCCGATATTTTGAAATTTACTTATTACAGCAAATGCGAAATATAGTGGACATTAGAAAATATACATAACACGTGTGAATATAATGAATCGCGTAGTATAAAGTATAATTGTATATACTATATAATGAACTTTTACCAACCCAAAATGTAAATATTTGTCAATGGATAATCGTAGCAAAAAAAAGGTGTATTAATTAATTAATCACATATATATATGCAAATGTATCGTTCTTATACGATCAGGTGCTATGTTCTTATACGACGTATATGTCACATAATATAGGTCGTATAAGATAGTATGTCGTACACGTATAAGAACGTTACATTTGCTATATATATACCGTATGTCACGTGTTATATATCTTTTTCTATAACCCGACTAGCCGAAGTACGAATATTATAGCCATCGCCGACGCATAATCGAGCTGTCGGCAAAATTTGTTATTATTATCGGAATAACCTACATTATTATCTATAGTGTTTTATTTGTATGAGTCTAACCGATGCCCGATAAAAATTTACCTTAATAGTTATTAAATAACCCATAAATATTTATTTAACCGATTTTATACGAGCAGTTGGCAAAATTTGTTACCGAAATCTGGTTTTCGGAATATATAATTTTGGTCATAAGACATAAAGCGCAAATATAACATGTAGTTTCCTTTAGTTGCATTAGTTAAAATAAAAGAAACATAATATATTTTGTATACTGTATAATTAATTAATTCATTCATCTTGTGAAATTATGGAAGTTCTAAAGTCTTAGATTCATTACATAATAGTTTATTAAATATGAATTATTTTATTTTGCCAGATAATTTTTGTCTACACTGCTACAGTAATTTAGATTCGAATTTAAAGATACTTATTTAAAAAATTCGTAATTTATTCATAGATTTTACCGAATATCTACTGGTTATTTTACAATGGTTAGTTGGTATAACAAATAATCAATCATTGGTATTCCCAAATTAATCTGTTTATTAAATATCGGTTAAATTATCTCTAAATCTCCGTACCTTTCAAATGGGTGAATGTATAAATTAAATTATTATTATATGTATAACCTAAAACTTGTCCCAAATCTAGATAGTATGCGTGATAATTAAATTCTACTAAATTACTTTATAAATACGATTTCAAAAATATCAAATATTTTTTTTTGTCGTAAAAAATAAATTAGTGAAAAATGGCTATTACAGTTTTCGGACGTTCTGTATCTGCTTTTAATCTTATATTATTCTACGTCCTTAAAGAATTAGGATTATCTTATGAATTCGTTCAAACAACTCCCGAAGAAGTTAATTCTCCAGATTATTTAGCTACCAAACATCCTTTGTGAGTGAAAAAAAATTTTTCTTTCACTGAAGTCGCATACGTCATAGAAACTTTACAAGTTACTAATTAGATTCTTTTTCTTCTTTTCTTTTAATAGCGGTAGAACTCCTTCTCTCAACGATGACGGATTCCAAATTTATGAAACTCGTGCAATAGCTCGTTATTTGATAAACAAATATCAAGGAACCAAATCTTCCACCGTTCTTATTCCTTCTGATGTACAAAAAGCAGCTTTGGTAGAACAATTCATTTCAGTAGAGACCTCTTATTATACTCAACCTCTGAATAAAATGCTTACGCAATTAATATTGGTGAAAAAACAAGGCAATGAACCTGATCTTAAAATTGTTAACGAAACTCGCGAAGAAATTGAAAAAAATTTAGATGTTTAAGAAAAATTATTGGAGGGTAAAGACTATTTAACTGGAGAATTTTCCTTAGCTGATCTTCTTCATGTTCCTCTTACTTTTTATGCTATTAACTCTACTGACGAAGGTGATTTATGGAATAAACGTCCTAATGTTTCTAGATGGTTGAAGAACCTTAACGAACGTGAATGTTGGAAGAATGTTTTTACTGAATATAAATTATCAGAATATATACAGTATAATATTTCTATTTTAAAAAAAAAATAGTTAGTGCAGATTATACTTTGTAAGCAATTAATATATTTTTTTTACTTCAAATAAATTCAATTTTTAAATAACCCTATATCGCATGATCAACGATTCCGCATATTATGTCAATTTGTGATATTCTTCCATCCCAAAGTATTATTAATAAATAATCAATGTCAATATTTTAACCGACGCATAATCGAACGTCAGCAAAATTTGCAAATTTTGAAAATTTTGATTTGGTCATAAAATTACATGAGATCATGTGATTTATTAATGGCGTAATTATGTCGTAAGTATTTATTTATGGCTGAATACATACATACATTACTGCGCACATTAGTTTATTACATATGAAATGCTTATTTTGTTTTAGTATGGGAATTTTTTAACCTACACCGCCACAATAACCTAATTTAATGAGGGTACTTGTTTGTAAATGTACAAGACTTCGTTTTTTCGGTTGGAAATTTCGATATCTTTCGGAATGAATAAATTATCCAAATATAGATAAAAAAATGGAATACTGCGCAAAATAATTAATTCTGTGAACCCATAAACAATTAATTCCTTCTAAACCAAAATTGCATACTAATTAAAGTACTAAATTTCTTATAAATACAATTTTGAAAATACCTAAAATACCTTATCGAATTTCAGTTAAATATTTTTCTTTTTTAATTGAAAAAATTTTTCCTTTCTCTTTTTTTCCTTGTAAAAAAAAAAATCGTAAAAATGACTATTACAGTTTACGGGCACTCTGCATCTTCTTATACTATTATAGTATTCTATGTTCTTAAAGAATTAGGATTATCTTATGAATACTATCAAACAACTTCCGAAGAAATTAAATCTCCAGAATATTTGGCCACCAAACATTCTTTGTAAATGAAAAGAATTTTTTCTTTCTCTGGAATTATATACGTCAGGAGTTACTGATTTGATCTTTCCCTCTTTTTTTTTAATAGCGGAAAAATTCCTTCTCTCAACGATGACGGATTCCAAATTTACGAAACTCGTGCAATAGCTCGTTATTTGATAAAAAAATATCAAGGAGCTAAAACTTCTAATGTTCTTATTCCTTCTGATGTACAAAAAGCCGCTTTGGTAGAACAATTTATTTCAGTAGGAACTTCTTATTATACCGAATCTCTAATTAAACTACTTGCGCAAGTAATAGGGATGAAAAAACAAGGCAATGAACCTGATCTTAAAATTGCTAACGAAGCTCGCGAAGAACTTGTCAAAACTTTAGATGTTTATGAAAAATTATTGGAGGGTAAAGATTATTTAGCTGGAGAATTTTCTTTAGCTGATCTTCTTCATATTCCTCTTACTTTTTATGCTATTAAAGCTGGTGAAGGTGATTTATGGAATAAACGCCCTAACGTTCTTAGGTGGTGGAAGAATATTGGTGAACGTGAATGTTGGAAAAATATAGTCACTGAATATAAACTAGATGATGTTGTTTAAAGTATTTGGTCATATTGTATTTTTTAAGTTGTATTGCAATAATAACGGTTAGATGGTCCAATAAAAATTTACCTTAATAGTTATTTATAAACACGTGATCATGGACATTTTGTATGCTTGAATATATGTCACATTCATTGTTGTTTATTACATATATTTGTTTAGCATGAGAATTTTTAGATTCGAGTTTAAAGAATTCAAAACATACTAAATTATTTATAGCTTGACTTGAAGGCATACTAAGACATAAGACTTTCTTGAATAGCTGGTCGATTATCTTAACTAAAATCTGTTAGGGTGAATTTAGATAAGAAAGAAAAAAATATAATAAATTTTCAATATAATTTTTATTCCCGAAACATTTATTTTAATAATTAACATATAAATATAAATATGATATGAATCAATAATTCAGTTCATTCATATGTTAATATGAGTTACGTTTAACTATAAACAAAAAAAATATCACGTAACAATCCGATATCCGACATACCGGAACGGATGTCGGGTTCAAAATTTTACTTTGTCCCGAATAATATGAAAACAGCTGATTAAATTATATTATCCGGATTAAAATCCGAATTAAACTATGATAATTATATATCGAATATATTGAATAAAATTATTTAATATTATATATTTATATGTTTTTTTATTCTATAAATTTATTACACTTCTATTTCTAATAATGCTTCATCTTCTAAGTTATTCCAGTTTGGCGCGAAAACTTCCATAACTTTCATATTTCGTGCATTTTAGTCACGATTCCCTTTCATCCAAGAATGTACATATGCTGACATGCATAGTTCTCCATTAACATCTGAACATTTTGTAAAATAACTATGTGCGATACTTGTATATTTTCTTTTAGTACTGCTCTCTTTTATAAACATTAATTAAAAAAAAGCTAAATTTTCATTCTATTTAATAAAACGAATTATTTTACAACCTTTCTTCTAATTTCATGGGTAGTAGTCTCTAAATTTGTATTCTTTGAACTTAAAGGGCTTTGTAAACTTCTATTAGGAGATTCTTCATTATCCAAATCAATTTCAATATAATTATTTTCCATAATTTAAGCGAGACGTAAAGAATTTTGTTTATTAGGAAACAAGTAAATAGTGATTTAACTATTTATATACTAATCCGGATTACAATCCGTCCAATCCGCCAATTCGGATTACACAATCCGTCTAAATCCGTCATAAGGATCCATCCTAATTAAGCTCGGATAACAGATTCATCCGGATAGCTTACTGTAAAAAAAGAATCGAAACCCTACCAGTATTTGGCACGAAGTATTCAATACTGATGACCATTTAACAAAAGTGCTCAATAACGGTTATACTCCTGGTAGCATAACATCATTTCGAATTGTTTTTCATATTTTTATTGCCTGTAATAATTTGTAATTAGCCTATTCAATGGAAGGGTGGAAAGTATATTACAGTATTTTGAAATTTTATTAGCGTCATTATTACTGATACACATTATAATTAAGATTCACTAATACATAATAAGATAATATCATGAAATGGGGCACCGGATAGTTTTGCGTATTTCGCTCTATTCGATAAAGATCATCGTTATCACACGGGGATCGACAATTTCCTGGTTGTTTTTAGGTATGTGGGTTGGGAGTGTGGGTTTGGGTGTGTAATGGTCTGCCGGTCTGATGTAATTTACCACCGCCGACGTCGGATAGTCGGCAAATTTTGCAGCCGGAGAATTTTTCGGTCCTCGGATACAAACTATTGCCGTGTATCTTGTCACAAAATGTAAACATATGTATTAGTTGCATTCTCAAAGAATATGATGATTAGTAATAAACTTCGAAATATTCGTGTTTAACGATTAAGGTAGAGTTCTAAAGTTCTAGATTCGTCACTTTCATATTTGGTCTGCACATATTAATTTATTACATATGAACTACTTTAAACTACTTGGCGTGAGAATTTTTTAATCTAACTGTAGATCCGAGAAAGAAATACGTAAAGTATACAAATTTAAATGACTTTCTTTCAAAGGGTTTAGTCGATCGGCTATTTCACCTTCATTCGTATTATTTTTTTTCTTTTTTCTTTCTTCTTTAGCAACTGATCATTCTCAATGGTATTCTCCCTAATATTTCCAAATATCGGTAAATTATGTAAAATCTCCTTGTTTTCAGACCGGAAACAGGAGAATGTATTATTAATTATCCAAATCTAGATAAAAAAGAAAGCACACTGATTAAAATAATTAATTTTGTGAATCATAAAGAATTGATTTCAAATCAAAGAAAATCAAAGAAAATCAAAGATAAAAATAAAATTTTTTTCTAGGCCGAATTCATATACTAATTAAAGAATGAAAATTCTTTATAAATACGATCTCAAAAATACCTCGTCGAATTTCAATCTTTTTTTTTCAAATTAAAGAAAAAGACAACAAATAAATATTATTATATATAAATTCCTTTTAAAAAACTCGTAAAAAATGACCATTCAAATTACTGGATACTCTATCTCTCCTTTTTGTCTTGTGCTATTCCACGTTCTTAAAGAATTAGGATTATCTTATGAATTCACTCAACCAGGTAGTTTCGAAGAAATTAAATCTCCAGAATATTTGGCTACGAAACATCCTTTGTAAGTGAAAAAACCTTTTTTTCTTCAAAGTTATATACGTCGCAGAAACATCACGAGTTACTGATTTGAACTTTCCTTCTTTTTTTTTTTTGAATAGCGGAAAAATTCCTTCTCTCAGTGATGATGGATTCCAAATTTACGAAACTCGTGCAATCGCTCGTTATTTGGTAAACAAATATCAAGGAAAAAAAAATTCCACCGTTCTTATTCCTTCCGATGTACAAAAAGCCGCTTTGGTTGAACAATTTATTTCAGTGGAAATCTCTTATTATACTCAACCTTTAGGTAAATTGGTTGGGCAATTAGTATTCGCGAAACGCCGAGGTAATGAACCTGATCTTAAAATTGTTAACGAAGCTCGCGAAGAACTCGAAAAAGTTTTAGATGTTTACGAAAAATTATTAGAGGGTAAAGATTATTTAACCGGAGAATTCTCTCTAGCCGATCTTCTTCATATTCCTTTTACTAATTATGCTATTAAAGCTGGTGAAAGTGATTTATGGAATAAACGTCCTAATGTTGCTAGATGGTGGAAAAACATTAGCGAACGTGAAAGTTGGAAAAATGTTCTCAATGAATATACATTAGCATAATATATATGTATTTTTTTTTTACATTGTAATAAATAGTATGCTTTTCGTTTATGTAATATACTAATGTAAACAGCAGTTAAATAAATGTCAATTTTTAACCGACTTTAAAAAATTCTATTACATATTATCAAAATTAACCACGTTTAAAGTTTAAATGATTATAGTTAATAAATAACTATCTAACCGACGAATAATTATTCTTATACGGACAGTTGATATGTAATTTTGATCGTAAGACGTAAATATATGTAGTTTTTTTAGGAGTTACATCAGCCTGACAATATGATTAATGCTCACGTTTTAAATGTTCGAGATACAAGATTTGATGATATTTATAAAAATTTCTAGATTCATCACATCCGTTATCTGAGTTTAAGACTTTTAGGGTCGTATAAAAAGATCTAAATATTCGTAACTTGAATAGATTTACAACTATTTCATAAGCTGCGGAACGTTCGAGAGACACTCGGTGAAACTCGGTAAGCTCATAATAAGGTCGGACAAATGATTCTTGACGAGGAGAAAAATGGCGGATGTCCGCAACTTATAAATTTACTGTAAACAACTTTCATTCACTTTCAAAAGTTTTAATCGATCGGCTATTTATTACGTCTTTCCGCCAAAGGTTGAATGTATTACTAGGAAACGAAAACCGGTATTATTAAGTCCGAAGTTATACAGGGACGTATCACCTTGAGAATTATACAGTCCTTCGTTACACTTCGAGTTAATAAATTACCCAAATCTAGATAAAATGAAAGGGGTACTGCGTAAAATAATTAATATTGTGAATCATAACAAAAATGATTTCAAATCAAACAAATCAATAATTTTTCTTTAGATATACTAATTAAAAAATTCAAATTTCTTTATAAATACGACCTCAAAAATACCATATCGAATCTTAATAAAATATTATTTTTTTTTCTTTTTTAAAACAAAAATAATAATAATAAATTTTACTTTATCCTTTTTTCGTAAAAATGACTATTCAAGTTTTCGGACACACTACATCTACTTTTTGTCTTGTATTATTCCACATTCTTAAAGAACTAGGATTATCTTATGAAGTCGTTCAACTAAATAGTACCGAAGAAATTAAATCTCCAGAATATCTAGCTACCAAGCATCCTTTGTAAGCGAGGAAATTATTTTCTTTCTCTGAAGTTATGTTCGCCACAAAAACATCACGAGTAACTAACTGATTTAAACTTTTTCTTCTTTTTTAATAGCGGAAAAATTCCTTCTCTCAATGATGATGGATTTCAAATTTACGAGACTCGTGCAATAGCTCGTTATTTGATAAATAAATATCAAGGAACTAAAACTTCTACCGTTCTTATTCCTTCTGATGTACAAAAAGCCGCTTTGGTAGAACAATTCATTTCTGTAGAAGCCTCTTATTTTACTCAACCTTTAAGTAAATTGATTGTGCAATTAGTATTTAAGAAACGTCATGGTAAAGAACCTGATCTTAAAATTGTTTACGAAACTCGCGAAGAACTTAATAAAACTTTAGATGTTTACGAAAAATTATTGGAGGGTAAAGATTATTTAACAGGGGAATTTTCTCTAGCTGACCTTCTTCATATTCCTTATACTTTTTATGCTATTAATATTGCTGGTGAAAGTGAATTATGGGATAAACGTCCTAATGTTTCTAGATGGTGGAAGAACATTAGTGAACGCGAATGTTGGAAAAATATTGTCACTGAATATAAATTAGCGTAATTTATATATTTTTATTTTAAATTGTGATAATAGTTTATCTTCATTTATATACTGTATATTATTATATTTTAAATTATAAACAATAGCGTACATTAATATTATTTTTTTTATTTCAAATAAATGTAAATTTCAACCGATTGTGAATATACATGGTTAAATGATTCGCAATTAGTACAAGAAGGTGCTATTATAAGCGACTAGATTTATGTCCTTCCATGATTCTTGAAGTCATGAACCTTTTCCACCCATGGTCTTACTTAATTATTGGAGGAATGATTGGCTGTCATTGTCAATATTGACCGTAATATAATATATATCGCAAGCAACCTATCATAATAATTTAGACAATCGCCTCAAATGTTAAACCAAATTTGATTAATGATTTCTATAATTGATCTATTCACCTTCATTTTCTTTATATTGTTAGTGAATGATGTGGGATATATTGGATATTCTCTTAATCCAATAAAGTATTTATACTGTATTATCAAAATTAATCGGTCTACATCTAGTTATGGACTAAAAAGGTATCAGTAAAGATCTCAGAGGTATCCAAATCTAGATAAAAAAGGAAAGGCATACTGCGTAGCAGTGATGTGAAGTGATAGTGACATGACACATCATTTCGGAGAGTGAATGAAATTATATCATGTGATTTGTAATGCCGGCCAAAATTAATTAATATATTTATTATTTTGATAATCATATAGCGTCATTTAAAATGTAAATTTATTTATTTAAAATTTATTATTGAACCATATAAATTGGAGCTTCTAAAGAATCATTAAACAAATCAAATAATTTCCATTTAGCTAATGGATTATCTGCTGGATGGGTATCATGCCCTCCTACTTCAAAATCATAAGGCTCAACTTCTCTGCTATCTAAATTATTTGAATTATTTTCTGTATTAACCAATTCAATCCAACTTTCAATTATTTTAGTCCATTGCTCAGGATTAAGAGTATTATTATTGTCATATTCTTCAAAGATATCATTAACATTACAATAATCAATAATAGAAGTTTCTTCTAATTCTTCAGTATCACTATCATCAAAAGCATTAAATGTAAATTCATTATATCATTTTTTTCATTATCTGATTCATATTCCTGTATTGGTTCAGCAATATGCAATCGTTTATATTGTCTTTCAGAAATTTCTATTTCTTCACGTTTTCTTTTGCATAATATGTCACTTCGCAATTGAGCCATAGCCAAGACTTTTTTATGCTACAAAATATTAAATTGTATTATCATTGATTTTGTATAATAAATCATTTAAGTAAATATATAAAATATACTTACATGTAGCTGATTTCGGCGTTTTGAATGCAAAAAACCCATATTTGACCAAAGGCGCTCCACTGAAGCTGCATTTACGCAGATTCCAAAAGTGCAAAGCTAATCGTGAAAGTTCTGGTGCCAATCCTTTTGCAGATTCTCAGAAATCAATAATATTTTCTTCAAATTGATTATAAGTTTCAGGATTAAAAAGGAAGAACTCTCGCTGATATGATAAATAATCCCGAAGAATTCTTGTTGTCATTTCATTAAACAATGCTTGATAGTAATATACGAGCCACCGTAACACCAAAATGTGTATAAGAAATCTTTTTAGAAGAGGAATTGAATTTTGAAATTTGATAAGAACAACTGAAAGTAACAATAAAGGCTGTTCCCACTGTGCCCAACGTGATTCCAATCTTCCTATCATGCAATTACCAAATTTTTCATCCTTGTGAGAGGAAAACATATTAATTATCCAACCAAAACAGTGTGTAATTTCATATAAACAAGAAACATCACTTTGTAATTTGTTCAATGCACCACATATCGGTAACGGTAACAATAAATTTTGCAGTTCAAATAATCGAGTCCAAAACCTTGGATCATTAATAATTTCAATAATATCAGATGGGAGACACTTATTTTCATTATTTGTATTAGTTTTATAATGTTGACGAGATATTCCAGTTCGAGAAGTACTTGGTGTTCCAATACATTCAGGTAAACATTTTGTAATTAAGGTCTGAAATAATAAAAAAAAAATAAAAATGGCCGATTATTAATAATCATTGCATTAAGGAACTAATGATTATTCCAGCATGTTTGCTATTGTTTGCCCATAACATGAATTTTGTTCATTTCTTAATAATCCAGTGAAATATGGAGAAGAATGAAAATAGCTTACAACACGAACTGCATTTTTTGATATTTGTTTGTATTGAAGTGATTCCTTGAAAATACCACCTACAACCAAATTCATTTGATGAACCATACAAGGTAAAAATACCTTACTTGGATATTCTATTCTTAATTGACGTCTTAAAAAAAAAAAATTTATTAATCTACAACTTATTAATATACAAAATCAAATAATATTTACCTTGCTGCAGCATATAGCAATTAATTTTTATTTGTTTTGATTCAGCATTATTCATCAAACTTTTAATCAACACTTTAACATCATCAGTTTTAGACTGTTGATCACTAATGTCTTTGTTTTGCCAGATGAAGTAATAAATACGACTCCAAAAAGATGTTCTCGTTTCACGTTGGTCCAGCCATCAAAAGCTGCGGTAACACCAATTACATCAGCTTTTGCCTGCTTTACAATTGATTGGGTTAAATTTTTCGCAGATTTGGAGAAAATACGATTACTGATAGCATGACGTCCTGGAAGTTTCAATGCAGGTGCAATAAATCTTTGTGTCTCTTTATTTTCCAGAAAAGTAAATAATAAACCATTTGATACCATCATTAATAATACGAGATTTTCAAAATGATGATTATCTTTCTTAGACAATGGGCGTGATACATATCCTGATAAAGTTGTTTGTTTAATAACAGAAGAGGTAGATGATACAGTGTAGCAGTTTCTACACTCTTTTCATTATCTAATATTTGTATTCTTTATTTTTTTTTCGTCTTCTGGAACTTTACGTGACAAAATTTCTTGCCTTTTACTCTCATTAAATTCAGATGCAAAATTTTCATACTTTTTAAATGATTATGACATAATAAATTAGGTACATGACATTCAGGTTTAGAAGTGGCAAGATGCTTTCTTATACACGAGAAACATACTGCTTTTTTATTGGCTTTAGGGTTATCTGGTTCACATAAAAAAAAAATTCACGAAAATCGTGCTTTTCTTTGCCCATTTTAATTCCTACAAACTATTAACTTGTATACTGAAATACGAAATATGCTTTAATAAACTGAGAATGTGAAGTGTGAAAAAAGAGATCGATAAATCTTTAGATTCAACAAACAAATAACAAATTTGTGTCGCATATCTCCTAAATTTCTGACTTCTGAATCACATTATTAACATTGTTAACAGAAGACTTCCCAAATTTAAATAGACATTGCGTGATTGTTAAGCTATGCTTTTTGGGAACAAATTTGCAATGCGTCACTAAATAAATTATGACATTGTTAATGACATTGTCACTTAAAAATGACATACGTCATTTTGTAATTTGCAAATGACATTTTCTTTAGTCATTTGAAAATTAGCCAAATGACAATGTCAATTGACATCACTGCTGCGTAGTAACTATTCAAAATTCAAAAAATTTATAAATACGATCCAAGTACTTGTCGAATTTTTTTTTTTAATAAATTTTCTTTCTATATTTTTTTGCGTAAAAAATGACTATTAAAGTTTTCGGACATACTGCATCTACTTATAGTCTTGTAGTACTCCACGTTCTTAAAGAATTAGGATTATCTTATGAACTCATTCAACTAAATAGTTTTGAAGAAATTAAATCTCCAGAATATTTAGCTACCAAACATCCTTTGTAAGTGAATCATTTTTTTTTTAACTCTTTGAAGTTATGTGCGTTATAGAAGCATTCCGAGTTACTGACTTGAACTCTCCCTTCTTTTTTTTAATAGCGGAAGAATTCCTTCTCTTAGCGATGACGGATTCCAAATTTACGAATGTAGGGCAATAGCTCGTTATTTGATAAACAAATATCAAGGAACTAAAACTTCTACCGTTCTTATTCCTTCTGATGTACAAAAAGCCGCTTTGGTAGAACAATTCATTTCAGTAGAAACTTCTTATTACACTCAACATGTAGGTAAATTGATTTATCAGTTAATATTCAAGAAAATTCATGGTAGTGAACCTGATCTTAAAGTTGCTAACGAGGCTCGCGAAGAACTTGTGAAGACTTTAGATGTCTATGAAAAATTATTGGAGGGTAAAGATTATTTAACTGGGGAATTCTCTCTAGCTGATCTTCTTCATATTCCATATACTTTTTTCGCTATTAACGTTGCTGGCGAAGGAGATTTATGAAATAAACGTCCTAATGTTTCTAGATGGTGGAAAAACATTAGTGAACGTGAATGTTGGAAAAATATTGTTGCCGATATTCCTTAATCCGTAATTCTGTCTTGTTTAACAAAATATTCAATATTGAGAGTAATTGTATAGTATAAATATAATCTATAATTTGTAATGCATATAATAAAAATGATATCCGGAGATGAATGGATGTAGATACCGGATGTCAAAATTAATCGGTCTATAGTTATAAATTGGCATTCGGCAAATTTTATTACCGATCTTATCCATCTTGTAATATTGATCACAAGACACATAATATATTTGATTGTAACTTTATAAAGAACTATTACTCGTATCAAGGATTTGAATATTATGGAAAGTTCTGGAAGTTCTATATTCACAAATTAATTTATTTATAGCTCCCTCCTTAAAAGTACCTGTGTAAAATAATCAATGTTGTGAATCATCATCATACGATATTATAAAAATAATTTTCTTTTTATATACTAATTAAAGATCAAATTTCTTTATAAATACGATCTCAAAAATATCTAGTCGAATTTCAATTTTTTTTAAAAAAAATTGAAAAATAATAGATAATTTTATTTCCTATTTCGTAAAAAATGACTATTACAGTTTTTGGATACTCTGCATCTACTTATAGTCTTGTAATATTCCATATTCTTAAAGAATTAGGATTATCTTATGAAGTCGTTCAACCAAGTAGTTTCGAAGAAATTAAATCTCCAGATTATTTAGCTACCAAACATCCTTTGTAAGAGAATCTTTTTTTTAAAAAAACTTTTTGAAGTTACGTGCGTTATAGAAACATTCCGAGTTACTGACTTGAACTTTCCTTCCTTTTTTTTAATAGTGGAAGAATTCCTTCTCTCAGCGATGACGGATTCCATATTTACGAATCTCGTGCAATAGCTCGTTATTTGATAAATAAATATCAAGGAACCAAAACTTCTACCGTTCTTATTCCTTCTGATGTACAAAAAGCCGCTTTGGTAGATCAATTCATTTCAGTAGAAACTTCTTATTACACTCAACATTTAGGTAAATTGATTTATCAATTAATATTCAAGAAACGTCATGGTGGTGAACCTGATCTTAAAGCTGTTAACGAGGCTCGCGAAGAACTTGTGAAGACTTTAGACGTTTATGAAAAGTTATTGGAGGGTAAAGACTATTTAACCGGGGAATTTACTTTAGCTGATCTTCTTCATATTCCTGCTACTTTTTATGCTATTAACGTTGCTGGTGAAGGTGATTTATGGAGCAAACGTCCTAATGTTTCTAGATGGTGGAAGAACATTAGTGAACGTGAATGCTGGAAAACACTATCAGTGAATATAAATTAGCGTAATATACATATTTTTATTACTGATAAATTGTGATATTGTTTATTCTTCATTTATGTATATTATACTCTATTTTATAAGCTGTAAGCAATAGAGTATGTTAATGTATCTTTACTTCAAATAAATAATTTTTAACCGATACAAGAAAATCCTATAATTCTATAATTTGTAATGTATGTAATATTGTATTTAAAGTTTTCGGACTTTATTGCTTATTTGCGTAATATTGAAAGTATGATCTGCATTTAGCCGTACGATAATTTTGTCTAAATTTAGTTAATAAATAATTTAACTACCAACGCACAATCGACATACGGGCATTTGACAAAATTTTTACCGATTCTCGGAAGCAAAATTTTTCCGGGTGGTTTTGATATGATTATGTAATATTGATCATAAGACACATTTGTTACATGATCGTAACTTTATAAGGCATTTTAAGACTGTATAATATTGATTATGGAATTTCTAGAAGTTCTAGTAATTTGTTTAATGGTGTAAGATAATCATAACGAGATTGATTTCAAATCAAAAAATAATTTTACTTTAAGCCGAATTTATACTAATTGAAGAATTAAAATTTCTTTTATAAATACGATCTCAAAATACATTGTCAAATTTTAATTAATTAATTTTAAATTATTTTTCTTTTTTTCGTAAAAAATGACTATTACAGTTCATGGACATTCCGCATCTGATTCTAGTCATTTAGTACTCCACGTTCTTAAAGAATTAGGATTATCTTATGAATTCGTTCAGCCAAATAGTTTTGAAGAAATTAAAACTCCAGAGTATTTAGCTACCAAACATCCTTTGTAAGTGAAAAATATTTTTTTTTATTCTTTAAGGTTTACGTGCGTTATAGAAACATCACGAGTTACTGATTTGAACTTTCTTTCTTTACTTTAATAGCGGGAGAATTCCTTCTCTCAGCGATGACGGATTCCATATTTACGAATCTCGTGCAATAGCTCGTTATTTGATAAATAAATATCAAGGAACCAAAACTTCTACCGTTCTTATTCCTTCTGATGTACAAAAAGCCGCTTTGGTAGAACAATTTATTTCAGTAGAGACCTCTTATTATTCTCAACCTTTAGGCGATTTGGTTTATCAATTAATATTCAAGAAACTTCATGGTGGTGAACCTGATCTTAAAATCGCTAACGAAGCTCGCGAAGAACTTAAGAAGACTTTAGATGTTTATGAAAAATTATTGGAGGGTAAAGACTATTTAACCGGAGAATTTACTTTAGCTGATCTTCTTCATATTCCTGCTACTTTTTATGCTATTAACGTTGCTGATGAAGGTGAATTATGGAATAAACATCCTAATGTTTCTAGATGGTGGAAGAACATTAGTGAACGTGAATGTTGGAAAAATATTGTCACTGAATATAAATTATTAGAACCGATATAATATTTTTTTTAAAAAAAATTTGATAAGTAGCTTATTCTTGTGTAGATTATACCGAGTAAGCAATAGCGCAATATATTTCTTATATTTCAAATAAATTTATATTATTATTAGACTTATCACAACTATATGAATTGTATTATGCCGATTGTTTCATCTGATATTCGTCATTATCCAATGAAGTATTACTGAATTTACCTTAATATGGATAATTGACACACGGGCATTTGGCAAAATTTGTTACCGATTCTCGGAAGCAAATTTTTCCGGGTGTCTTGATGTGATTATGTAATATTGATCACAAGAATTTCTTTATAAATACGATCTCCAAACGGATTTTAATTTTTAAGGCTTTCTAGCAAAAAAATGACTATTACAGTTTTCGGTCACCCTGCATCTACCTGTACCCTTGTAGTATTACATAGTCTTAAAGAATTAGGATTATCTTATGAAGTCGTTCAACCAAGTAGTTTCGAAGAAATTAAAACTCCAGAATATATAGCTACCAAACATCCTTTGTGAGTGGAATAAAATTTTTTTATTTCTTTTAAGTGCGTTATAGAAACATCACAAGTTACTGATTTGAATTTTCCTTCTTTTTTTTAATAGCGGAAGAATTCCTTCTCTCAGCGATGACGGATTCCATATTTACGAATCTCGTGCAATAATTCGTTATTTGATAAATAAATATCAAGGAACCAAAACTTCTACCATCCTTATTCCTTCTGACGTACATAAAGCCGCTTTGGTAGATCAATTTATTTCTGTAGAAACCTCTTATTATAGTCCACATTTAAGTAAATTGGTCTATCAATTAGTATTCAAGAAACATCATGGTGGTGAACCTGATCTTAAAATTGTTAACGAAGCTCGTGATGAAATTGGTAAAACTTTAGATGTTTATGAAAAATTATTGGAGGGTAAAGATTATTTAACTGGGGAATTTTCTTTAGCTGATCTTCTTCATATTCCTTATGCTTTTTATGTTTTTAAAATCGGTGAAGGTGATTTATGGAATAAACGTCCTAATGTTTCTAGATGGTGGAAGAACCTTAGCGAACGTGAATGTTGGAAAAATATTGTTACTGAATATAAATTATTGGAACTAGAACAGTAATAATATTTTTTTTTTTAAAAAAAAAAATTTTTTTGATAAGTAGCTTATTCTTGTGTAGATTATACTGTGTAAGCAATTGCGTATTTTAATCAAATAAATTTAATTTTTAAATAACTCTATATCGCATGATCGATATTCCCAAAGTATTATTAATAATCTACGTCAATTCGACATTTTAGAATTTACCTTATAATCCCCTGTACCTTCATGAAAATTGCGAGTGATTAGCTGAGTTTATACTCATATAGATAGCCAGAAAATTTCTAATTTTTAGTTTAAAATAGTTAATCACATGTTAAATTTAATGAGTAACACGCTCTAGGGGATTACCCATTTATTTCCTGGGAAGGGAAACCCTATTATTTCCAACTCCCCATGAAATAAATAATATATAACCACCGCCAACGCATAATCGAGTTGTCGCCAAAATTTGCTATTGAAGAAATTTTGTGATTTGGGTGACCATGTGACTTGATATTAACAGTTAAGTTATAAGGCGTAATTAATTAATTTGGGAACAAGTTTACAAGTCATATCGTAACCGGAATAGAGAATAGTCCATACAATAAAGTATTTATTTTAGATATATTTTTTTTGATAGTCTATGTATTATGCTATATTGGTCACAGGACCGAATGATTGGATGAAAATGGGTCACGTAGTGGCCATTTTTACCAATCAATGAAGGGCCCTGTGACCACATTCAAATAAAAAGTTGATCATGCATTAATTATAACATATTTAACACTAATTTTTAATCTACTTTATAAGCTTTATTTAAATTTTCCTATAAAATATTCATTACACCATATTTTTTTACTCCACTTTATTATATCAATCATGACTATGAAAACCTGCATTGGGCTGAACGATAAGAAATACTTATTTTGTTTGAGAATTTTTTAATCCAATAACTTACCTTTCAGACCGGAAACCGGACGAATGGATAAATTATCCAAATCCATATAAATTATCCAAATCTAGATAAAAAAAAAGGCATACTGCATAAAATAATTAAAATAATTACGCAATGCTGTATATCATAAAAAATTGCTTTTTCTTTTGGATCGGAAATTACATACTAATTAAAATACCAAATTTCTTTATAAATACAATCTCGAAAGTACCTTATCGAATTTCAATTAAATATTTTTCTTTTTTTAATTGAAAAAAAAATTTCTTTTCTCTTTTTTTCCTCGTAAAAAAAACTCGTAATGACTATTACAGTTTACGGACACTCCGCATCTACTTTTACTAGTGCAATATTCCATACTCTTAAAGAATTAGGATTACCTTATGAATACAAGCAAAAAAATTCCGAAGACATTAAATCTCCAGAATATATAGCTACCAAACATCCTTTGTAAGTGAAAAGAATTTTTTCTTTCTCTGAAATTATATGCGTCGCAAAATATTAAGAGTTACTGATTTGATCTTTCCCTCTTTTTTTTAATAGCGGAAGAGTTCCTTTTCTCGACGATGACGGATTCCAAATTTACGAATCTCGTGCAATAGCTCGTTATTTGGTAAATAAATATCAAGGAACCAAAACTTCCACCGTTCTTATTCCTTCTGATGTACATAAAGCCGCTTTGGTAGAACAATTTATTTCAGTAGAGACTTCTTATTATACTCATCCTCTTATTAAAATGCTTTCGCAATTAATCTTGGCGAAAAGTCAAGGCAAAGAACCTGATCTTAAAATTGTTAACGAAAATCGCGAAGACTTTAGATATTTATGAAAAATTATTGGAGGGTAAAGATTATTTAGCTGGAGAATTTTCTTTAGCTGATCTTCTTCATATTCCTTATACTTTTTATGCTATTAATATTGCTGGTGAAAGTGAATTATGGATAAACGCCCTAACGTTCTTAGGTGGTGGAAGAATATTGGTGAACGTGAATGTTGGAAAAATATTGTCACTGAATATAAACTAGATGATGTTGTTTAAAATATTTGGTTGTAATGTATTTTAAGTTGTAAGGAATAGGCTAGTACCGGGACGATGATTTTATGATGCAATAAATTATCAATTGTGTATACAATAAAAGCAAAATATGCATTTTTAAGTACATATGATTTTTACAATTATGCGCAAATTACGCGCCAAAATCTGAAATTATGTAAAATTATGCACAGTTTATTATAGTAAAAAACTCATCAAAATTTTATTTAAAAAGTTGATTTTAAATCCTACCACCATTAAAATACATCATACTTAACCTTTTAAGAGAATCTTTAGAAAGATTTTTAAATTTGTTATAAGCCACTTCAAATGTCATTCGGAAAATAGCATAAAATTCATTTATATCAAACCGGCTGAGTAATTAAATTTTCCAAGAGTCTGTTGAATTCCTATAAGTTTCAACATAAGCAGTAAGATGCCGAAGTCATAACTCAACAAGTGGGAAAACTGGTTTCTTTAATTGTTGAAAAAAATCAAGATCTTGAATAAATTCGTTAGCAATTTCACTCACTTGACTCCAAACGTTGGATACTAAATGACTGAGCTTCAACATAGGCAATTGGATTCCTGCATATAAACAAGCCGTGGAGAAACGTGGGGATGATATACCTAATGATATACTAGCAAGTTTGGATATATAAACAAATTAGAAGAGTTATTTCAACATACGATCATATTATATAGCAGGTAAGGGTAATTATTTTTCAAAATAAAAATTTACGTACCTTGTATACAAGAAACCACTTAGAAGATAACGGTTCAGTTTCAGCAAGTATTATCACATGGAAAAAGCGGATCAAAATAATGGAAGAGGGATTTCGTGCACGTTACAAGAAGGACAGTAAGTTCATAAGAGAATATGCCAGTTACGTAAGCAGATTATGACAAGAAGAGAACCATGAATATGTAAGAAATACCGCCGTGATGTTATTTTTCCAGATGAAGAAGCATAACATTAGAATGGCGAGACACATGCTAATAAAAAATCCTTCTCGAGAGTGTTGAAAATTTATGCAAATTATACTACGAGTTATCAAAAGAACGACATTAGTAGGGCTATAGAGGATGCGGTCAAAACCGAGAATATTTGAAAAATCGTAACCTCCTCAAGCACATACTCATTGTCTATTGCTCCGATCCAATATAAATCCGGAGTAGAGATCAACAGCTCGGAATATTTTGCTGTGTACCCTTGTGCGACAAAATAGATGATCTGTGCAACAGCTGGGTATTTTTTCCGCAAATAAAATTTTTTACCCTTGTCCTCACATACGTTAGTCTGCACCAATAAAACTTCGCAAAAAATACTATATAAACCGAAAATGTCCATCACGTTACTCTGTCTCGTCAAAGGAACACACTCGCAAATGCTTTCCCTGTCCGCATAGATAAAAATAGTCTTGTTAATGAGTTAAAAAAAGTTATCAAGGCGGAAATCCCACAAACTTTCGCTAATGTAGACGTCAAAGACATTAAGCTATGGAAGGTGGAAATTCCTTTGAGTAATTTCTCACTCGAGGAGAATGAAGAGCTGTTGGCATAAATAATATTGGAGATTACTGGTCTGAGAAACCGCCTAAGAAGAATATTCACGTCATAGTCGAACCACTCGTGTCGACCACCACTTCAGCTTCGAACGAGATATTGGAATTAAAGGAACAACGTGCCTCATTACAGGCATTACTCAACATGGTATGTATTTTTTCCTTACCTGAAATAAACGAATTTTCCGAGATGGCCTGTCCCGAAAAAATTTTACTAACTCGGTTGTTGTTTTACAGCATTCGACGTTGCCGTTAGTCCGAAACGAACGAAGGCTTCAAGTGGACCGTAAACATCGATGACGCAGTCCTCGAAGGCCTCAAAGAGTATATTCGTGAAATGGATAAACCACCAGCACTTGAAAATGATGGAGCGGTGCTAAACTTCATAAGCAGCGGGGAGAGATATTCACCTCAGAACGATCAAAACCTCTGCAAAATGCTCCGGCTATTCGTAATAAATAACAGCTTCAAGTTTTTGAGACTCCTCAAAGCTCTTCAACGAATGGATCTTACCGAAAGTGTGTGAGCTCTATGGACTTAGTGATGATCCGAATCCTAGCATTGACGTGTATCCCGTTTTTCACTGTGGCTATGTCGACTTCAAAGATGAAAGTCTCAATCAGTTGTTAAGCATCTAATGGCCGAATCGGAACTTCGCCAAAAAACCACCCCACTTGATTTTGCGTATGAAGCAACGAAATCCATTTATTCATACTGTTATCTGGCCAGCGGGGTATCGTTCTACGAAAAAAATTTCAAAATTATACCGGAAAAACTCATCACAGGTCACAACGGGCAAGGAAATCTCGATTATGCAATAGAATGTCGTTCGATTAATAGGATCGTTGGTTTAGTCGAAGTTAAAAAGGATGACTTTAAGCAGGGATTCGCACAGATGGAATCATCATTAAACGCAAAGTGAATGAAATAGACGATTCTTACGGTTTGGACAAAGTATGAGATTGTGACGGATGCGGAAAATGATACTTTATGAAGTGTAGGCTAGATGAGCCATCGTTTAAGTTGTCAGAACCACCATTGTATGCAAAGATGAGAATTTACAGGCTAAGGTCCTCGGGTATATTGTATGGTTATTGGAGGAAGCACAGAAGCCGGTGGAAGCTTCACGAGGAATCGAGAGTAATAAAAAACATAGGTCATCGAGCAGTCTTGCGGAAAAATCCGACATTGTAGATAGTTCTTAGCGTAGTAAATCATCATATAATATGGACAAAGTCTTGATCATGTATTTTATTTTTCGCATGTATTACGGTCAACGTCTAATATGTATTTATTTTTTTTATCTCTGTATTAATAAAGTAAGTCTTTACATTCGCAATATAATTAAATAATTCCATCGTGAAAAAATATTACTATTTATGTCATCAGAGCTTGAATTATTGAGATAGCGCATCACTGAGCTTGAGGCAGAGAATGCTCAGAATATGGAGTTGGAGTGGAGGGCAGAACCGAAAATTTTAGACGTGATGGAGTGGCTTTTAAGTCTATAAACGAAGTAGAAAAATTAAGGCATGATATCGATGAGCTTTAAAAGAATCAGAATCTAAGAAAAATCGCAAATTCCAGACTAGATGCATCCAGAATTCTAAGGAAATTCTTAATGAAGAACCTATGATCAAATATCGGCATCTTTTTTGAATGGATTAGAGCTTGATGCCTTCTTCCAAAGATATCGAATTGCATGGGAAGTACAAGGTGCTCAGCATCTGTTTCATGGCACTAGCTGGTATAAGGATGTCAAAAAACTCGAAGACATTTTTAATCGTGATCAGCAAAAAAGATGCATATGCCAAAATAATAGAATTTTCCTTCTTAAGGCATGGTATGATGAAAAAGTGGAAATCGTTATTCCTAAAAGGATACAAAAATTAAGGAGTTCGTTAATCAAGCACCTTCAAAGTTCGATTTCCTATCATTAATAACTTATAATATGTGTAAATTTACGTTTAAATATCGCAAAGCTGCCACTGTCATACGTAATTCACTGCGCCTATACACAAATATGATGCAATACAGACGTAAAAATGTCCAAAGGTTGGATCTTTCTCTTGAGTGCGTACAAGTGGTTAGGAAATCTAAGAGGAAAATGGCAGAAAAAGTTGATTACGGAATTCGTGGTGCCCTTCAAGGAATGAGGGTACAGAAAAAAATGCTTGGACGAAATTCAACGACCATTTTTATGTAGAAAGGACGGAATAATGACTCCCTTCGGTCCTACGGGGAGGAAGGTAGAACTATACAAATTCCAATCGGTCATAATCATCACAATTTGGGATGCATGGAGTCTTCTTTGGACTTATGTCCGAGACGGGCTTCGAAAAAGATGATGTTAAAGGAATAAATAAATTATATAATGAGAAGCCTGGAACTGTTGGCGGAAAGCATAATGATTATACAGCCGGTTCAAATTCTGCGCCCATCAACGGTCAACGTGACATTTTCTCCGCATCAAATATTATCAAACCGGAAAGGAACAGTGATACGATGCATGTTTGGTGCAATTTGGGGAATTGTGCGGAGTCGGTACCCTTCGAAGCGATGCGTGGGAATCCCAACCCCTCAGAAAACATGTCGAACCTGTCGTCTTGTACACGCATACCCTCGCCTTACCCAGGAAGAAGAATTAGTTAGAATTGATAGCCAAAGAACCATGTTGCAAGTGCACGTATGTAATGGAAAAGATGCTTCACAACAGAGTTTCAATGATACTCCATATCAATATTAGTTGAAAAATTTAAGGACAAATCTCGAATTGCGAACTTTATTGGTTTTAAGGTTCTTGATAACGATCCAAAGGAACTAATATACTATATATCTTGTGTTGCTGAATATGGCTTTGATCACATAATTATTTTTGGAGAGACAGATTATGGAATGATATTTTTAGATTGCTATGGCGGGTTTTTCAGTTGGATGATGAGAGTCAATTTTTATGTCCACTTGGGGATTCTCCCGAAGAAGCGCAAAAATATTCAACTGATGGAGTTGAGTTAGAATGGAGTTGTACGCGAGTATATTAGGAAACCTCAATGTATGTACTGTATGCAAAAAATTATTATGACGGCATTGTGTATTGATTATGTTATTTTGACTAATTTTTATTTATACTTTCTTTCAGATGTATATCCTGAAGCGAAAAAATTTATAACAATCTACAATGACAATCAGTTTCTAAATACTGTATACATCATTCGATATCAATTCTGTAAACAACATCGATGACCAATCAGCAAGAACATTGGTGTACAACGAGATCAAATCCCTTCTCCCAAACATTAATGATGTAAATTTGCGTAAGAAAGCGTTCAGAGCTGAAAAATCTACGCACTATTTATGGGGATTGGAATAGATAGGATTCAAACTATCGTTTCGTTTATAACAATAACTTGCAGTATATTATTTTAAGCTGTGAGCCTGTGACTTGGACAAATATCACGTGAGGAGTTTGTGAACTGAGTTCACGAGCGTCCTTGTCTTTGAAAAAATTTCGCGATGTTATTTTTAAAAAAAGGGAGTGAAGAAAACAAATTTAACTCCTCAAAGTAATTTTTTTTTTGAGCGAAACAATTAATAATTTGTCATCTATTAGCTATTAGCCAGCAAACTTTATGTTGAATAAGAAAATTTTAATCGTATTTTACACACAAACAGTAATATATGTTGGAATAGATTCTCTTTATACATATTTTAATAATATTTTTTAAAAAAATTACATTTTATTGTTACAAAATACGCCCATAATTACATAAATAAATATAAATAAATAATTATTAAAATATTTCTATCTTTCAGAATAGTTTCATGAGTGTTCCTGCCAAAATAATCATAGGAAGAAATATTGTGCCAAGAGTCCAAAGAGGGGTTTGACCGGCCTCTGTTTTTCATTTAGTGTGTTCACTGGAAGGGAATGATTCCTGTAAAGAATCACGAATTATAACCCTGCATTAGTCTACTCGTCGACTCTAGTGATTAGATATAGAAAAAATTCGACATATTGATTCCATTACTTACATTATGTCTCTTTCCAAAAACAGTTCCAAAGATTCAAACACGTATTATATTATATTGGGAAGACAGATTCAAAGACTTCATTCTAGATTGCATGATAGGTTTTTTCTTAGGTTAAAGCGCTTTACTACAAGATACGGTGGTGAGCAAAAATAATTGGAATCGATGGATACGAAAAATGGCCATATTTTCACGCATTTCCTCCATTTTCTCTTTCCAAAAAATAATGCTCACCACTGTAATTGAACAACTGAATTCCAGGTTCTCTACTTCTTTTACAGATAAAGAATTCTACACATCAAAAACGAATTTCGAATTATTTCTTGACACAAGAATTTGTTGTAATTGGCATCCCTCTGAAGAAAGTGATACGGCTAATTGCAAGACTAGGAAAATAACAATAACATGATCATCTGTTCGAAAAATGTTGTGCCAGTCACCTTATCATTTGTTAACATCTATTATCAAAAGCAAAAGAGTTGGGAATTCATCAACATTCAGAATGTGATCAATGTAAACCCAGCGGATAAAAGTGTTTCGCCTCACTTATTCAGCTTAGATACGAAATTCCTAAAGATATTGTTATGTTACGAAGTAAAAAAAAGAATATGAGCAACAATATCGTTTCATCATCCCTAAGTGCCATTTTAATAATAAAGTCTACTATATATACGTGCTAAAATCTAAATCATTCCTTTCCGTTTTCTAATATACCAAAGGATCTATCTTTGAGAATCTTTCGGGCATGATTTTCATTGCTAATTCTATCATGAATCGACACACTCTTACTTTCATTTGTGATTACACATTGGAAATCTGTTTTGAATAAGGCAATGATGCTAAATTTCTATCCCATATGCCTGTTCATACCTGCGGCTAATATATGATATTTTTTTTCGATAACATTCAGTGAAACTGGGCAAAGACCACGAATTTCTTCCATTGTACTCTCTGGTATCATGAAAATAGAAGATAATTAAATCAGATGAGTTACGACATAATTTTTAAATTACGCGAAGTGTAACTACCTCTTGAGGTAATGAACGTTTTCACATCTTCGTTATCAACTTCTTCGTATCCTGAAGTAGAAAAAAGGATTAGTGATCCTCCAAAACTGGAAATATAATTTGATCCCTTGTCATCACATTGTTATAGTTCGTACTTGTGTTATGTATACGACAAAAAAGATCAAAGTAAAGTTGTAACTAGAACAAACTACCTCTTGATTCAGAAAGTCCATGCTTTTGATGTGGAGGAGTAAATAATTATTTGAATATTACTGTTGAGAGGAAGTGGCCGAGAAGTAGTAATCTATTTAGTTCGTTTGGCCATTACAGAGTAATATAAACAGACCAATTCAGAACAGATCGCAAAACGGCCATGGTCGGAAATTCAAATCTGTACTGTTTACAGTCAAACTTTTATATAATGATATGTCGGGACATATATGAAATTTTTAGAAAATATCATTATATCAAAGTTATACCGATATTTATATGTCCTCATATATAGCGGGAAAATAAAATTTTATCGGTATATCAAGTTTTTAATAGTATATCGGTATGTATATCGAGGTTAGACTGTATATTAAAACTGTGTTTCAACCAAGTTTGTATAAATTCGTAAGAACTTCATTTCCATTGCTATTTATACGAGTTAGCCTAGTATTTGCTGGCGTAGAAAACATAAGTGGACAAAACTCACCTCGTAGGCTTGCTTGGCTTATATTTTTTACTTCGGATGAATAAAAATTAGAATGCGAAAAAAAAAACGTGCATTTAAACGCAGTAAGGGCACGTGACTAAAAAATGGGATGTGCTCTAGAAATATACCGTACGACCAAAACAAGGTGGGCTGAAAAAAAGAATATATATTATAATGACTTCGAATAAACATTTTTCACTATAGTTTTTTTACCCTATTACTCATAGTTCCCCATGAAACGGACTGGTGCACCATTAACTGATAACGAAAAGTCGATGGTAATATCCATTTACAATTATTTTTCAGGGGTTAACTTTAAAACGGAGGACCATCAGAAGGTCAAATTACGCAAAGCAGGTTGCTGAGGCATTGGATATAGCTGAGAGTACAGTTGGAGTTGTGGTGGCGGACTGGAACAAATGTGGTGACAATACACTTACTTTTACGCCACATAAAACCCTAAATTGCAACCCGACGAAACATTTCAACAATTTTGCGTACAAAAATTCCAAATGCTAATTCAAATGTACAAAGAAAAGGTTCCATTTTCTTATGTTAACATTGCAGAACAATATGAACATGAAGTTAGTTTTAACCCTCCTTACCATTGCGAACTCTAACCTATTGAACCTATTGAAGCATTTGGTCAATTGTAAAGGCTGAAGTTGCGCGCTCAGGTCCACACTCAAACCTTTTATCTGTTAGGAATACACTTCTAAATGCATTTAAGGAAAAAATTTCTTCTAAAGTTATAGTTGGGCTTTGGAGAAGTGCACTTAAAAACGCTAAAGGATATTTTGAGTCCGAAGAATTTGACGCTTATAGTAGTTCCGATGATGATCACGTGATATTAATATCTATATGTAATTAAATAATAAAAAAATAAATTTTTTTATCAAACGTTATACTCCAGTCGTGTCTATATCTTAAAAATAAAAAATAAAAAATAAAAATTTTTTTATCAATGCAGGTGGATGGAAATGCTTCGGCTGATCCTCCACGGTTCTTTTTATATTTCGCACCAGGGTGGCGCTGTCTTCGGGCGGTTTGATTATAGCGTAGTTTAGATAGCGTTTGGCTTTTTTTTTAATTAGTTCTTGTCTATCTTTCTGTAATCTTGTTCACATGGATAATAAAAATAAAAAATAAAAAAATAAATTTTTTTATCAATGCTTTTTGCACCGGGCCATATTATTAATTAAGATTATTATTTTATCATAATTATTATTCATAAATTATTTTAATAATAAATCACGTATACATTTATAAGAACGTAACGTATAGCATTTATAAGAACGTAACGTATAGCATTTATAAGAACGTAACGTATACATTTATAAGAACGTAACGTATCCATATATAATAAAATAACGTATTTTGTTAGTCACATCTTTTCCAACAGAATAATATTTAGAGGCTGATCGATTGAATCGCCGGTGGCTTCATCGTAAATGTGTAAAAAAAGCTATAAATACGTGAACAAATTTGACAATTAATACTTCTGAAATAAGTAAATAAAATCAATCATGAATAAATTATTTACCATCACATTTCTCTTTGTCCTTTTCACTACTTCATTATCTAGTATAATTCCTCGACAATTAGATCCTTTCAAACCATGTGATATTACTAAAACTTATCCATTAACTATTACAACCCTTTCTTATTCTCCTAACCCAATCGTCGCTGGTGGAAATTTAATGCTCAAAATAGCAGGAACAACACAAGTAGAAGTTCAACAAAAATCAACCTTAAAAATTCAAATGACATACCTTCCTTCTAAAACTCTTGATTTTTGCGACCTAGTTGCCTCGTACATTCCTTGTCCTATTTCCGTTGGTAAATTTAATTATACCGCTAATATTAAAGTACCTAACATTAATGTGATTATTAAATCGCTGATAAATTATAGTACTATAACAGTTACTCATAATACAGAGTTGACATGTTTAGTACAAATTCTGTATATTTATAGAATTTGTAATCACATGATCTAATAAATCTGAACGACTGAACAGTGAATTTTTAGAAACGTCAGATTACTATTAGCACCATATAAAAAAAAATTTCTATGTACACTTAAAGATATAATATATTGTAATAAATTTGAATTTTGAAAGCCTGGATTTTAAAAATCCAAAATTTTTTGGTTACTTTGTGTACTCCATTGCGGGGTATCAGCAAAGTAAACCATTTTTGACCAAATTTGGTTTTTCCCCTTTCTATTAACTCGTTAATACATCGTCACGAATGGGTATACAGTGGTGTTACAAAATTAAAAAATTGGAAACCTTTAGTAATTTTTCTATAATTAAGCTTATAAAGCAAATTTATATTTTTTTGCATAAAATACTTTATATTGTTAAAAAAATTTGTTTATTCGTAATTTTCCCATTTATCTTTGATAAAATTTGAGAAATTTCTAGTGAATTTGCATCCATTTTTTAGTTTATGAATTTCATGTCAAATTTTTCTTTAAAATCAACAATTTGTAGTTAATTTTCTCAAAAAGCAAAAAAGCACTCAGTATTCAAGTTTATTTTGCATTTTAGTTTAAGTAAACTACACACATTTTTGTAATTCGAACCATTTACTAGCATTTTTTACTATATACCGAAATTGTGATAATTTGAAGAATAAAATTCTCATCATTTCATCATAAATGTTCTTTACTGCAAATTTTTGATATTTATTCTTTGGCGTTGTTCTTAATAATATTTGAGTATTTTAAATTAAATCCAGTCCACCAATGTTTTATAAATGTAATTTAATTTTCTGTTATATTTTTTGATTTGAAATAAATAATTATTGAAAAAGATAATGAAGTGTTTATAACTTCAAACGATATCAAAAATGTAGCTTGCTTATTATACAATGTAAATAAACATGCATTTTTATCATGTAATATGCGTATGTAGCAGAATAAATACGTACATCATAACAAAATATATATTCATCGTTACAGGATATATTTATCGTCACAAGATATATACATCCATCGTTACCTACAAATACATGAGGATATCGTTATCAAAATATATACGTATTGTAGGTGTCTGCAAAACACCTGATGTCGTAACTACAATAGTATAATGTATGCTTGAATTTATCTACAATACTATCATACTATCAATGAAGTTACCATGTTCTCTGTTTATATTTGTTTAACATGAGAATTTTTAATTCAGTAAATTAATTTTAGATCCGAGTTTAAAGAATTCAAAATATACTAAATTCTTTATAGCTTGACTTGAAGGTGTATTAAGACATAAATGATTTTCTTTAAAATTTTTCCTATTTATCGTTCACGTTATTTTTTTTTTTTTTCTTGAATAGCTGGTCGATCATCCTAACTCTCTAAAACGGGTGGATTCATATAAGAAAAATATACTGCGTAAAATAATAACTAAAATCAAAAGATAAAATTTTTTTTGACTGAATTTATATCCTAACTAAAGAAATTTCTTTATAAATACGATCTCAAAAATATCGTCCAAATCTAAAATTTATCTTTTCCTTTTTTTTTCGTATATAAGTATTAGTTACTGGAGGAAAATTCCTAAATACCAATTAGTAGCCAGGTGATAAAAAATGATAATTCAAGTTTTTAGATACACTACATCCGCTTACAGTCTTGTAATAATCTACGTCCTTAAAGAATTAGGATTATCTTACGAATTCATTCAACCAAGCAAGTAATTTCGAAGAAATAAAATCTCCAGAATATTTGGCTACCAAACATCCATTGTAGGCGATAAAATTTTTTTTTGAGAAACATCCTGATTTGAACTTTTCTTCTTTTTCTTTAATAGCGGAAGAATTCCTTCTCCCAACGATGATGGATTCTAAATTTACGAATCTTGTGTAATAGCCCGTTTAATATTTGATAAGTAACAAGTTATTCCTGTAATCCTGTGTACAAAGGTTGAACAATTCATTTCAGTAGAAACTTCTTATTATACTCAACTTCTGAGTAAATTTATTATGCAATTAATACATTTGAAACATCATGGTGGTAAACCTAATCTTAAAACTGTTAACGAAGCTCGTGAAGAACTTGATAAAACTATGAAAAATTATGGAGGATAAAGATTATTTAACTGGGGAATTTTCTTTAGCTGATCTTCATATTCCTTTACTTTTTATGCTATTAACATTGCTGGTGAAGTCCTAATGTTTTTAGGTAGAAGAACATTAGCGAACGTAAATGTTGGAAAAAATATTATCACTGAATAATATACGAAATTATTTTTTAAAAAAAATTGAGATAAATAGTTTTCTTCATTTATGTATATTTTACAAGCTGTAAGTGATGCGTATATTAATAAATATATTTCTTTTACATTATCTGTTATATAAAGGTTTGATATTGTCTCAAGTAGAGACTGGATCCGTTATCCGTTTGAATTTTCAGTAAAATTGTAATTTAAAGTTACAAATAAGTGTTTGAAGCGAAAAATTTTGGAATAAATATTCTTTGCGGAATTGATGTTTTAGTCATAAAATTTATTTCGATTTTATATATAGCAATAGATTCGCTATACACAAATTACACTTTGGATATCCGTTATCCTAAATCAATGCAAAATAAATTTTAATTATAGATCATTACTACATTTAAATCTGCGGGTCACTATCTTTAAATCTGAACGATCTTCAAAATTATTAATATCCGTTCAAACAAAGGATCCAACCTCTAGTCTCAAGTGATCATAATTGATCTTGTACAGGCAGTCAGTACCGATTCTCAGAAGCAAACTTTTGTTTAGTATGTATGATTATGTAATTTTGACATTGTTTTGCATGTTCAAAAACCTGATACATTTTTTCAGGGCCGGAATTAGACTGTGCCCAATAAGGTAATAGATTTCTACCCGGCAATAACTAAAAAGGAACACTTTACAAACCTTTTTATGGTTTTGGTACGAAATCTCGAAAATCATTTGAACGACTGACACAAGACCGACAACAAAATCTTGACAAGTCAAAATCCCGACAAATCATTATACCGACAAGTTGATTATCCTGGCAATTTTATAAAATTTACCACATATAAACTAAATATTACATATTGCAACAAATTATTTTATTAGAACATCATTAGATTTACAAAATTGTCGATATAATGACTTGTCGAGATTTTGGATTGTCGATATTTTGTTGTCGATCTTGTGTTAGTCGGTCGAGATTTTGATCGGATACCCTTTTTGGTTATACGTACTGTATGTATATTTAATACATATAAACTAGGAAACGGAGTCGAAGCGCTGTTTAAGGTTTTATTGTTGTATGTCGTCACATGTCAGATGGACAATCGGAATTCCGGATGGACATTCGTATACCTTGCGAGTCCTTCGGACTAATTGCTTATTTTATTTTAGCATGAGAATTTTAAACGACATTTTTTCAAAGGGTTTTGATCGGTCGGCTATTTCATTTTTATTTGTATACTTATTCTTTTTTTGAATGGCTAATCAATCATTCTCACTGTATTCTTCCCAACTTATGATTAATCTTTCCCAATCGATTTGTTTATGTCGGTAAATCTACAGCAGATCGGAACCGGGTGAATGAGAAATAGAAGAAGTACACTGCGTAAATGATATTATGGTTAGTTGATTTTTAAGATTTTAAGATACAATTTTTTTTTTTTCTGAACTCAGATTCATTTTCCAATTAGGATAATTAGGATCAAATTTATTATAAATACGACCTCAAAAATATTTCATCGAATTTTTTTTTTTAAAAAAAAAATTGATAAATATAGTACTAATAAACTTTTCTTTCGTAAAATCAACTCGTAAAAAATGACTATCCAACTTTACGGATTCTCTACATATGCTCAAAGTCTTGTAATAATTCATGTCCTTAAGGAATTAGGATTATCTTATGAAGTCATTCAACCAGCTAGTCTTGAAGAAATGAAATCTCCAGAATATTTAGCTACTAAGCATCCTTTGTAAGTGAAAAAAACATTTCTCTGAAGAGCGTTAATATATATAAATATATATACGTATTAGAACATCACGAGTTACTGATTTGAGCTTTCCTTCTCTCTCTCTCTTTTTTTTTTCTTTAACAGCGGGAAAATGCCTATTCTCAACGATGACGGATTCCAAATTTACGAAACTCGTGCAATAGTTCGTTATTTGGTACATAAATATCAAGGAACCAAAACTTCTAACGTTCTTATTCCTTCTGATGTACAAAAAGCCGCTTTGGTAGAACAATTCATTTCTGTAGAGGCCAATTATTATAATCAACCTCTAGCTAAAATGCTTACGCAATTAATATTAGCGAAAAAACTAGGCAATGAACCTGATCTTAAAATTGTCAACGAAGCTCGCGAAGAACTTGATAAAAATTTAGATGTTTATGAAAAATTATTGGAGGGTAAAGATTATTTAACTGGGGAATTTTCTTTAGTCGATTTTCTTCATATTCCTTCCACTTATTATGCTTTTAAAGCCGGTGAAGGTGAATTATGGAATAAACGTCCTAATGTTTCTAGATGGTGGAAGAACATTAGTGAACGTGAAAGTTGGAAAAGTATTGTCACTGAATATAAACTAGATGAAGTTGTTTAATCCGTTTGGTTATAATGTTGTATATCTAGTATGGCAATTATAATAGTTATTTAAACATTCAATCAATCTTATACGAACAAATTTTGTTACAATTGAAATAAAACACTCTGATGTCGTAACTACAATAATATAAATAAAATTTTGTATGCTTTAAATTTATCTATAATACTACCAAGTTAATGTTCTCACATTCATCATTATTTATTGCATATATTTGTTTAGCATGAGAATTTTTAATTCAGTAAATTAATTTTAGATCCGAGTTTAAAGAATTCAAAACATAATACACCTTTTTTCAAGCTAAGCTATACAGTAAATAATTTAGTAAGACATAAATGACTTTCTTTAAAATGTTTAGTCGGACATCCTATTTAACGTTCGTTATTAGTTTTTTTTTCTTGAATAGCTGGTCGATCATCCTAACTAAAAAATATGTTATCTTTAGAATGGGTGAGTTTAGATAAGAAAAATATAAGAAAAATTAAGTGAACATCGGTGACGAAGTCATGTGATATAACGGGAAGATCAATGTTCGAAATGTTTTTTTGCTTTACATAAAATAAATAAATCTCATATGGCGTATATGAGTATATGACGTATATTGAATATTTTAAACATTTTTAGTTTAGTATTTTTATGTATATATAGACGCATTTATTTTCGATGTAGACAGATACCAACAGATACCAACAGATAAATAACGTTTTGATAAATAAAAGTTTTACTAATAATTTGTTTGATTAATGGTAATTTATAGTTAAATTGCGTTTATTTATTTTTGCGTCAATTATCTTTATTTATATTTATTCGCATACATATACCTTCTGCTTACCATAATTAATTTTCGTTTATCTTAATAAACATTAAAGAACTGACTCTGACACTACGTAAAATAATAACTAAAATCAAAAGGCAAATCTTTTTAGAAAGATTATTTAACTGAGGAATTTTCTTTGGCTGATCTTCATCATATTCCTTTTGCTTTTTATGCTATTAGCATTGCTGGTGAAGTTGATTTATTGAATAAGCATCATAATGTTTCTAGATGGTTGAAGAACATTAGAGAACGTCAATATTAAAAAATATTGTCACTGAATATAAATTAGTATAATATACGAAAATTTTTTTAAAAAAAATTGAGATATAGTTTTCTTCATTTATGTATATTTTACAAGGTGTAAGTGATGTGTAAGTGATAGGTATATTAAGTAAATATATTTCTTTTACATTAAAGGTTTGATATTGATATCAAAATGACTATCGATGCATTATTGATCTTGTACAGGCAGTCGGTACTGATTCTCATGTATGTATGCTTAATAATTTTGACATTAGTTGCATTGTTCAAACCTGATAACATTCGATTGTTATTTTTTCAGGGCTGGAATTATAATTTCAGTCTGTGTCCAATAAGGTAATAGATTTCCACCCGGCAATAACTAAAAAAGGAAAACTTTACAGAATTTTTTTTTAGTTTAAACGGCTATACGTTTAAACTAGGAAACGATTAACTGTTTAAGGTTTTATTGTTGTACGTCGTCATGTGTCACAGTGCCGTCAGACAGATATTCGTATCACTTTGCGTAGTCTTTCGGACTAATCGCTTATTTTATTTTAGCATGAGATTAATTAATAAAAAAGATCTGTAATTTTTTTGGTGTATAAGTTTTAAACGACATTTTTTCATTTTTTTTCAAAGGGTTTTAATTGATAGGCTATTTCATCTTCGTTCACGACAGACAGTTAAGGATGCTTACCAAAACTATTTTTTCAAAATTTTAGTTTAGTCAAAATTCAATCCGAAACTATTTTTCATAATAAAAATTAATTGCCTAAACTGTTTTTATGCTTTTCCGAAACTAATTATAATTTAGAAAAGTTTCGGATTTACCAATTATTTCATTAAAAATAAAGTTTTTGAGTTTCGGATTTTTGAGTTTTATCGTTAAATGAGTTTCGGGCAGCAACACTTAGTTCACGTTGATATTTTTAATTCTTTTTTTGAAATGGCTAATCGAACATTCTCACTGGTATTCTTCCCAATTTATGATTAATCTTCCCAAATCTATTTGTTTATGTCGGTAAATCTTTATACCGGAAACCAGAAATAGTATACTGCGTAAAATGATATTAACAAATTTGGTTAGTTGATTTTCAAGATTTTAAGATACAAATTTTTTTTTTTTTTTTTTTGAACTCAAATTCATTTTCCAATTAGAATCAAAATACGTAAAAAATGACTATTAAAATTTACGGATTTTCTGCATCTAGTAATAGTCTTGTAGTATTTCATGTCCTTAAAGAATTAGGATTACCTTATGAAGTCATTCAACCAGCTGGTCTTGAAGAAATTAAATCTTCAGATTATTTAGCTACCAAGCATCCTTTGTAAGTTAAAAAAACATTGGGCGTTATAGAAACATCACGAGTTACTGATTTGAGCTTTCCCTCTCTCTCTCTCTCTTTTTTTTTTAATAGCGGAAAAGTTCCTGTTCTCAACGATGACGGATTCCAAATATACGAATGTAGGGCAATAGCTCGTTATTTGATAAATAAATATCAGGGAACCAAGACTTCCACCATTCTTATTCCTTCTGATGTACATAAAGCCGCTTTGGTAGAACAATTCATTTCTGTAGACACCTCTTATTATAATCCACCTATAAGTAAATTAACCGTGCAATTAGTATACTTTAAACGTATTGGTAATGAAGTTGATCTTAAAATTGTTAACGAAGCTCGCGAAGAACTTGAAAAAGTTTTAGATGTTTATGAAAAATTATTGGAGGGTAAAGATTATTTAACCGGAGAATTTACTTTAGCTGATCTTCTTCATATTCCTTATACTTATTATGCTATTAACGTTGCTGGTGAAGTTGATTTATTGAACAAACGTCCTAATGTTTCTAGATGGTGGAAGAACATTAGCGAACGTGAATGTTGGAAAAATGTTGTTACTGAATATTCAGTAAAATAATATACCCATAATTTGTTGAAAGTTTATTCCTCATTTACAGTATTGATTAATTGTTAATAATTAAGTTTTAAGTTTTTAATTTACATTACATTTTTGGAAGTTATTTATGGACTAATATCAGTTAATGATTGAGACCCAAATCGATGATAATCGGAAAACCACGCAAACTTACAAACGGAAGGGTAATCGCCAAAACTCTAAAATGAATTCAGAAATATTATTTAAAACTATTGTAATCCACGCTAATTTTTAATTAGAAAAGTAACGTATTTATATCTTTACTAAGTTATCAATGTATATAAAAAAAAACTAAAAAGTACGCACAGAACCACGCTTATTATAAATCACAAAGACCATTAAAGGCTACTTTAACTTGAAAGGATAATAACTACACTAAATTTATTTCTCCTGAAACAAAATACATTCCTAAACATTTAAAAGACTTTTAAATTAATATTTAACAAAATACAAGTACAGTATATTAAAAATATTTTATAAAATTGATTACCTGCAACTTTTCATATGTTCTCTTAGACATATCTTCTTCGAACAAGACAAAGAAGACTTCCCTCACTTTTTAAAAAAAAAAAATTTGTATTTAAGATAATTTTAAATATAAAATAAGTAAAAACAATATACTTACTTCTGTGATCAATTGAATTTAAATAATCGTTTTTGCCATTTTGGATTTCTAATAACTTCTCTTTGGTATGCTTTTTTTGTTCTTCAAAATTTTCTTTAGGGTTAAACATGTAATCACCACCAGTAATACAAAAAAATAGGACGCAACCTATTGCCCACCAATCTGCAGCTATAATTTGTTTTTCTGTACGTGTTTTTTTATTAAAAAGTTCTGGTGCATCTAAAAAGAAATGTAAATTTTTTAAAAACTTGTATAAAAAATATATATTTTTTAAAAAGAATATATATTTACAGTGATTTAAAGTACCACAATGATTGGTACTAGGACTTTTAGATATATTACGACATAAACCAAAATCCCCCAACTTCAGTTTTAAAGGAGTTTTACGCACAACAAAAATATTTTCGGCTTTTAAATCTCTATGTATTAATCCCGCCATGTGTAATTTCTATTAAAAAAAAAATGTTAATTTATAAGTTTCTTTAATAAATAATATTGATAATAAACCTACACACATGAACACAAGATACCAATTCTAATAAAAGAAGTTTTGCTTTTTTATAATTTAAACGCGCTTGATTTTTATATACAAGATCATACAAAGTTCCTCCCTTTATCCTGTATATAAATACAAATAATATAATAAGTAAATTTACAATATTACAAATAATGAAATAATATATAAATATTTACCATTCCATAAATAAAATATGTCTTTTTGAAAAACTATCATAATAACCATACTTTGCTTGGATCGCGATTCCCTTTTTAAATAAATAATAAAAAAAATTAGTATTTAATTAACGATAAAATTAATAAAAAATAACTTACAAGTTTTTCCAATTCCTTCATATAAATGTATTCATCTTTCAAAGAAACAGCTCCAAACTTGGCAGCTAATTTTTCCTTTTCATTTTGTTCATTTTGAACCAAAAAAACCTTTCCGAATCCTCCGCTATTAATTTTATCAGCATATGATTTATTAAGGAAAAAAAAATAATATTTGACACAAATATATTTATTTACCTTCCAAGTAATTTAATATACTTATATTTATGATCAAAACAAGTTTGTTCAATATTGGTAGGACTTTTATAAACTATTATTAAAATTTGATTAAATTATTAATTATATAATTCATATAAATCTTTAAATAAATTACCTGATTTGTTCTGTTGGTTATTTTCTTCATTTTCTTGATATTTGTTAATTTTAAATTTAGAAGTATATTTCACATATTTCTATAAGATCAGTAAAATAAAAATTATTATTTTACTAAAAATTAATTTATTATGATAACATATTAATTATTACTTGTAAGTTCCCACAACCACAATTGAGTATATGGACATCACGATATGTAACTAAAAAAATATCTGGTTTTAATTAAATAATTGAAATTTATATGAATTTAATTAATGTAAAATTTGAATTTTATTAACTTACATTTGACAAATTTATTTTTAAGTTTTAAACGAAATTCGACTCCGTCATTTAAATCAATGCTTTCTTCTAGTATGCATAATTTTCGTTGTTTATTTTCGGGGTTTTCTTTTTTCATGCCATCTTCACTGATTTAAAAATAAATCCATTATATAAATGAATTTTTTTTTAATGATGGCAATGTAGAAATATCAATGATCGAACCTTAAATTCAGCAGTTTTTTTCCATTATGATCCTTTAATAAATAAATAAAAGGTCACTATTCGTAAGTATACTGTAAATCTGTAATAAAAGAATTAGTTAGAATCAAAAAAAAATATTTAAAAAGCTTACATTTTGTATAATACAATGAATCTCATAATTGCTATCTTTCAAGTTAAGATACTAATTAAATAATTAGTATAATTAATTAGTAAAGATAAAGAAATTGTTATTATGTATTTTTGGTTTCTTTTTTTTTTCAAAATATTAATAAAATATGATTTGTTAACATACATTTCCATTAGTTTCTTTATTTCCTAGAATATGTTCTTTTTCAAAGAATTCAATAACTATAAAGGAAGAAATGAAACAACCCCAAATAGTTCCAAATTGTACAATATTAGGACTACTATTTTCCTTATCTATCATTTGCTCTTTGCAAGCAGTTTGATTTTTGGCAATATCATTAGTATATTTTGACATACTTTAAGTAAGAATCATACTTCAATACTTCAAGATGATGATGGCATCTGGTACATTTATAGTTTAAAGTGAGTAATGTAAAGTCAAATTGCAATTAAATTAATTACAATATTAGTATAATTTCATACATATTTACATTATGTAAAATAATAGATTAATTGACAAACAATATCTGAAATTTTGCTTTATGATTTATCTTGAGTCATAATTTAATTTAGTTAGACACCTTATTTGTTTTTTAGAACCCTAAAAAATAGGGTACATCGTTTTACTTATTTAAAGTTCTGAAATTTTTTAATTTTTTCGAGTTTTACCATTCCACATACTGTATATCAACATATATTAAATAAGTTTTACTATTCCACGTATATCTGCATATATCAAATAAGTTTACTATTCAACATATATCAACATATATAACAAGCAAAACAATAAAAAATGAGATCAATGGATAGAAGGTATTGGTGCCGTACGCGCTCTTCAATCTTATTTCTCGGTTGCCCTCTTGATTTTGAGTTGGTAGATTTAAGTGTTTTGAAAAACAAACCGCCCTTATCTGAGGAATCTAAAGACGATGATGACTATTCTGAATATGATGAGGATTATGATAAAAAGTTTGAATGGCTAGAGGAATATATAAAAAAGAATTATGGAACTCTTTTCTACCTAGGTCAAGCTATTGTAGGACCTGATCTAAGTGAATGGAGTGATCGAAACGAAGTGTACTTGGCTATTCATTTACCATATGATGAAGATGAAGAAGATGAACAACTTAAAATTCCTGATTTAAAAAATTTTTTTACCAATTTTGATTTAAATGTATTGGACCAATTTCGTGATCTGATGAAATTGTTAGGACAACCAGAAAATGATTCTGAACCTGGATTGTGTTCCTGCCAATCCAATATAGGATAAGAAGTAAAACATAATAATTTAGAAATATAATAGTAATTATTTACTTGGAAATTGCGGGTATTTTTAGCAAAATGTTATTATCAGGAAAGTATCAAATGCTCTTAATAATAAAGAATCATTCGGTTAAAGTGTAAAATTTTTTCTCTGTTTTTCTTTTGAATTTAATAATTTGAAGTCACGTATCTACCATGAAATTAATTAATCGATTTTAAAAATTAAATTTTTAATGTCACACCAACCATAAGTCACTTAGCACCCGAGGTTTTATGATTACGTTAAGTTTATTGAGTATAACGAGATGTAAAATCAAACTATATATGGTATATTCATTTTTTCGTTAGAAGATCCATATCTATAAATTTTGCTATCGTGTTTTATCGGTAAAGTATACAGTAACTTAAAGAAAAGACCACTTTTTTTTGAAAAACTTGCAATCACGTGCGGCTAATCATTTTTTATAAAATGTGTAACCTAAGGTTTTGCATACTTTCCAGTTTCCACCCCCTAAACATATGTCACATTCACATAACAATGGATACTTTAATATTATCGAATTTGTGCTGCCACACAAATTATCTAATCAGGGCAATTACCCGATACTTACCCGACTAAAGAAATTCGTTACATGACAAATTTTAATCACGTTAATTGTATCGTTAGGATCAACTACTACATAATTTTTTTCCTCCATACATTTTCCGTTTTTTTCGTAGAATTTCGCCATTTAAATGAATAAAAGAGTATAAGTCGTAAATAATCCATTTGGTTAATTATATTGAAATCGTTCCGTCATCTAATATGTTTGCTTGATAATTGTCTTGTAAACTAAGTTTTTCCTTTATCAGGTAATTTGCGTGGTCGTACAATTCTGAAAATAGTGATAATATTAAAAAATTTATGTACTACATTTAGTTTTGATTTACATAATTAACTGCGCTACCCCTCTGTATCATGTTTAAAGTTCACTTTTTTTTCCAACTGTAAAAATTCCGTGAATCTGCGCTAAAAATCTTAGCCAAATAATTTCCCATGATTTGCATGATTTGAGGTTATAAAATTTCTTTGATTTGATATGATCACGAAAAAAAAACGGAACACTTTTTTTTTTACGGAATATTTTACTTTTTTTACCGTATGAAAAAAATTTCTTTCAATAGACCTTAAGATTTGATGTTCTATGTAGTACGTACCCGTGCTTTTTGTTCCTCCCGTTATCACGTGAATTGTACAAATAATTGCGCCAAATAATAAACAATAACGTAATCATTATTGTCTTGTACAACGATCAATAAAACAGTGTCAAACCTATAAATTTTGTTAAACAATCAAAAAGAACTCGTTTTCTTTTTTTTTTTTTTTCCTCTAGCTTTTTTTTTCCTAGGAAAAAAAAAAATTTAGTAATAATAATGGTCTCACTGGAAACACGAGAAAATGTCATAGTGGAAGATCTGGGATCGCCTCCCATAACTTCTACTCAAAACGAGACAAATATAAGTAATCCTTTTTATAATTTAATCGAAAAACAAGCAAAAGAATTTGAGGAGTTTGGTAAACGTATGAGTTTAGATTTACAAAATACTTACAGAGAATATTTAATTCAACAAACCGATATTATAAAAGAGAACACGAATCCTGTTGAAACGGAAAATGTTTGTAATAAACATGATGAAATAATCGATTCTCAATCACAATTAATCGATTCTTTAAGAGCTCGGGTTGAAATTTTGGAAACTGATCATCTTATTAAAGAACAAGATTTTAGAAAACTTCGAAATGAATTTAATGATTTCAAAAAGGAAATCCAATCAATTCTATCTATATCAACAGCTACGGCAGCTACATCATCAGCTGCACAGGATAATAAGGAAAATTCTTCTTTATATACGAATGAAAATGTCGTCAAAGATTCGGATATTACACCAATTCAATCTGAAGAACCATTAAAATTTGTGTATGATGAAGAGGAAATATCTGATTATAAAAATGTTGATAAAGAAAATATAAAACCTAATCAACCGTATTCTGATGGTCATGAAAAACAACTGTATTCTGATGATCAGGATCATGACAAAGAAATTTTCGCTAAATCTCAAGCAGCTTATCAAAACCATCTTAAGGCTGAATTTGAAACACCTTATCCTTATCAAGAAAACGAAGAAGAAGCCGTGGAATTTGAAACTTCTTTTCATTACACTGATAATTATGAAGATGAAACCTCATATCAATATGTTCCCAGCTATGATAATTACGGTTATGATAATTACGATTCAACGTATTTGCCTTCATCATCATATCAACAATACAATAATGATGATGCTTATCAGAATGGTTATGATTCAACGTATCTTGGATCTTCAACATCTTATCAACGATTTAATGATGGTAATTCTCATATCCCAAATTTTACTTTTAATAACATTCCACAGGGAAAAACATCAAAATCTCAAAAAGCAAATATAAAAATTCATGCCAAAGTTGAAGAAATCCTTAATAATTTAAATAATAGAAGGATTCTTGATCATACATTCAAACCTTTACGACAAACTTTTAATATAAACCAGCTCTTAAAATATGAAAAGTCAGACTTATTTAATCCTTTAAGTAGTAAAACAAAAAGTTCTATTAGAACCTCGATTAATGACGAGTTAAGAGATGAATTGTCCGGTAAGAAGAAAATGACACAACCAATTAGTGTTTATGTAAATAGAAATATTGTTCCTTCTTTACCACCTGGTATTAAAAGTTATACTGAATTTGGGAGGACTTCTCAATATAATCGTTTATCTAGCGAAAAAAAGAAGAGAATTCAGAAAATTATTTCGAAAGAAAAAATATGTTAATAAATAAATCCTTTAAATTGTATAATTATTATTTTTTTTTTTTAATCTAATAAATTATTATTATCAGTTATGTAAATTATCGAATTTAATGTGACGGATGCAATATAAACTTTTTCCGTGATTCCTTTCAAAACAAAATACCGTTCTAATGAGAATATCGAAAAATAAAGGAGAGTTCGATATAAGGATAATAAGTTAAATAGACCCATTTACTGTTATTAGTACCCTTTCAAAAAAAAATAAAAAAGTTTACATTACCGGACCAATCAAATAATCCCACATATTACTTTTGATCAAAATGTTATCTGTAAAAAATAAGGCTTATACCGTGTGATATTTTTGAAAACCGGTTTTTTGTGGACGATATAAAATCTATTAGGGTGTGTCAAATTACTGAATTACTGTTAATCCAGGATAGCAAGAAAATGGATAGAGAAAGCGTGTATAACATAGATCAGAGCAACGTGGCCAAAATAATGATTAGAAGTCCGTTATATTACGTAATCTCGTCTCACCTATTTTTTAGTCGCAGTGTTTATATCGTTATATCGGGTTACAACAAGTTTTGTTACAACGTTCTATCTGTATTGTGCGTTTAAACCCATTAAGTACCTCATAGAATAGACCAAGTACGAGATAAAATAATTTAGCGATCCATTGAATATGGTATCTTACTATCTTTGGTGAATTTTATGAATTTTATAATGAGGAAATTTAATATTCTTTTTAAATATATTAGTACATAAGGAAAATTGATCTGATGAACGTGAACTTTTATCAATTGATATTTCCGAAAGATTATCTAACAACCTAAATCAAATAATCACGTGGATCAAATTTCCTTTCAAAGGATACCGTTACCCTTTCGAGTAACCGACTGAGCAATAAACAAAAATGTAATTTGTAATCAATATATATAATACTCTTAAAAAAAAAAAAAAAAAAACTTTTTCCCTCCTAAATTCCGTTTTTGTTTTTATAATAATGGAAGTACAAGAAAATGTTATAAAAAAAGGTTCATATCTTACTCAAAATGAAAAAAATAATATAAATTTGAATAATAATAAGAATTATTCTAATGATAATATTTTAAATGATCGATATTATAATTTAATTATAGAACAAGCAAAAGAATTCGAAAATTTTGGTAAAAGAATGAGTTTAAATTTACAAAATTTTCGTAAAGAACTTGTAATTCAACAAAATGATATTATTAATGATGAACCTTTTGATATAGAAAAAGTTTATAAGAATTGTAAAGAAAAAATCGATTCTCAAGTACAATTGATTGATTCTTTAAAAAATCGTATTGAAGATTTGGAAAATGATTCTTTTATTAAAACTCAAGATATTAAAGAACTTCAAAATGATTTTAGTTATTTAATAGAAGATTTTGAAGATTTTGAAACAACTGTACCAGCTGTTGTACCAATATCTATATCAGCAACGCTAGATAATAAGAAAAATGTTTCTTTGATCCCAGAATTAAATTTTCAATTAGTAAATGATAACCAACAGTACTCTGAGGATTATTATGATGAAGAATCTTCAACATCTTATCAAAAATACGATGAGGATAATTCTGGTGAAGATAGTTCTGATGAAGAATCTTCAACTTCTTATCAAAAACACGATGAAGATAGTTGTGATGAAGAATCTTCAACATCTTATCAAAAACACGATGAAGATAATTATGAAGAATCTTCAATAACTTATCGAAAGGATGATGAGAATAATTATGATGAAAAGTCTTCAACAACTTATCGAAAGTATGACGAGGATTATAATGATGAAGAATCTTCAACAACTGATCAAAAATATGATGAGAATAATTATGATGAGGAATCTTCAACATCTTATCAAAAATATGAAAATGTACCTTATCAACAATACATTGAGACTGATCCTGGAATAACTTATTTTGATTTTATTAAATTTGAACGTGATTATACTTCAGCTCTTGAACAACAAAAAAACGAACAACAAAAGCCCTCTACATCATCAGCAAACAGACAACAAAAGCCTTCTACATCATCAGCGAACAGACAACAAATGACATCTACATCATTAACAAACAGACAACAAAAGCCATCTACATCAGCGGTAAATAAACCATTTACCTATTCACAATCTTATATATCAAATCCGAATGTTCCTGTTCATAAAGAAATTCTAATGATTATTCATGCCAAAGTACAAGAAATAACTAATGAAAAAAGCAACGGAAAACGTAGATTAGATAGAAAACTCAATAACCATACGTTCCGTCCTTTGTGTGACTTTGGTATGAAAAACCTTTTAGAATATGAAAAATCATATTTATTTAAATCTTTAAGTAAACGCACAAGAGAACGTATCAAAGCTACAATTATTGCTGAGTTAAAAGATGAATGTATTAATAAAAATAAGAAACTAACACAACCCATCAATATTTATGCGGAAAAAAACATAATTCCTCGTTTACCATCTGGTATTAATAGCTATACCGATTATCAAAAACATTATCGTTATAATAATTTCTCTGACAAGACTAAAAGGAGGATTCAAAAAATAATTTCATTAGAAAAAGTTAACCATTAATTATTTATTATTGTAATTTTTTTACTAATAAAGTCCATGTTTCACCTATAATGATACCTGTAATGAAAGAATAGAATATCACATGTAATTCTTTATAAGACATTGGTGACGCAGTATAAACTTATTCCGTTGATAAATAGGCTTATTTGAAAAATGCAGTAAAGAACTTCATCAGACGCCAGTAATCAAGCTGAAAAAAGGGGGGGGGAACCATGATGCATTGATAATCTGAAAAGGACATGAATATCAATCCTTTAATAATTTTGATATACGAATATTCTTTACCATAAATAAGAACCTCCAATAAGAAATAGTGTCTATTGTTTTTGCTTTATAGAATATATTTATTCCTTTCCCAAAATCATAAATCAATTGATCAAGAAATTCACGTAAAGTTAGAATATCTATATAAAAGTTGATATTTTATTTTAAAATTAGATAAGAAGAAAAAAAAAATTAACAAATCACGAATATTTAAATCTCGCAGTTAATTGCCAATTTTGTCAGGTCTATCGACTAATTCGAATAAATAAAATAAATAAAGAATTTTGGCATGAAATTTTGATCGGATTAAGTTTCTTACTCTCCCTTTTTTTTTACAAAAAAAAAAAATAATAATAATAACCAAGAAAGAGATATTTATCATCAATCACAAATCTTTGATATGGATTCTGAAACTTTAGAAAAGCAGAAACTTTTAATATCAGGAAATCAAGAATCTAAACACGAGAAGGAACGAGAAGAATCTGATGATAAATTTGCATTTATAAAATTAAAAGCTCGTATTGAAGAATTAGAAACTGAATTTCTTATAAGAAATTTAAATTATAAAGAGCTTCGAGAAGAATTTAACAATTTTAAAATGTTAATTCTTAAATCTGAACATGACCAATTATCAAAGAATATTCGGGATTCATTTTCCATCGATAAATCTAAATTTCTTCCAAATTTAGAGAATTTTGGGGAAGTTTCAGAATCAATTTATGATTATTATAAAGACAAACACATTCTTTTTACACATGATGATAATGATTTGATGTTATTTTCTTCAAGGAAAAGTCAAAATAAAGAAACACGGTTTATTGATGATGATTGTGATTACGATCTTGAAAATAAATATGATGATACAGTTGAAAAAGATTTTATTAATAAAGGAGTTTCTGGGCCATCGTCATCATCCGATCAACAGATTATCAGTAACAACAGTAACAACAAATGTGATTATTCTAATAATTATAAGACTTCACCATTAAATCCTTATGCGGCTTCGTTTTTTCCCGGAAAAGATTATACCAATCAGGAAGAAACCACACAAGGAACTCAACGAAATAATGACGATCAAAAGGATTCAAATTTTCTTTTGAATATTCCTCTTTATGCATCTAATAATATACCTTATTTCATCTTTCTTTGTAATGACTTTTGGAGAAATCACACAAACGTAGTCGAAAAAATTCACGCACTAGTTCAACAAATTCTTTATCAATTCAGACTAATTAACCGAAAAGTCAATGTTGTGTCGTTTAGATATTTGTATTTCTTTGAAGTTGATGATTTAATGAATTATGAAAAATCAAAAGAATTTAATTCCTTACAAAAGGTTCACAAGAAAATTATTAGGAATATGATTAATGCTTTATTAAAAGATGAATTATATATTAATATTACTTTTGTACGAAATCTTAATGAGTATAGAAGTAGAGGATTAATTCCAAAATTACCAAAAAGTTTTAAAAGTTATGATGATTATACCAAGAGTGAGAAGTTTCAATCTTTGACCAAAAAGAAAAAGAAAATTATTAGAAGATTGGCTGAAAAGGAAAGAAATGATGAGTAAAGAATACAAATTAATTAGATTAATTATAATTGTTATATAATGTGCTTTGTGTTAATAAAATTTATGTTTTCACTTGGGATACTACGTTTAATGAAATATGATTTTTATCGATCTCCAGTCATAATCCATTTACTATACAAATTCATGTATAATAATAATGTTCGTACAAAGATATTTGATGATTTATTACATAAACTATCATAATAAAGGAAAGCTAAATATACTTGACACATAAATTCCTCTATAAATACGAATATACGATAAATACGATGAATAAGATGAATAATATAAATTTGAATAATATATTGAATACATAAAAATTCTATATCTAATTACTAAATCTTCAACTTTATTAATTCCCTGACTCGAGTAATTTACTAACTCTTGACTTGTATGTATCGTTTAAAGTATCAAACCAGTCACTATACATAGTATAATTGTCATATCCGTTAGGTAAACTTGGAAGTATGTCTCTCTTAATATATTCATCCAAATCTTGTGAGAGCGTTACATTTGGTCCTTGGAATTCTTGTAACAACATACATTTAATATGATAATTAATATATCTTTTACTCTTTCTATTTAGAGCAATAAAATTATTCGACTTTGTATATTCAATTAATTCATTAATATTATAAGAACTTTTCAAAAATTTGAACTGTTTTAATTTTACAGAATCGCCATAAAGTCTATCAATTTCTTGGACTTTAAAGTTAAGTGAGGTGTCATTATTTGAAGAATTTAAAGAGGTGTTATCCCAACTCGAGCGTTCCATCATCTTATCATAAGTTTTTAATAAAAGATCACTGCTTTTATATGAAATAGGAGAGTCATCAATTTCTTGACGAAGTTTTTTGATATTTTGATCTTTTTTGATAGCATCATTTTCCAATTCTTCGATACGAGTTCTCAAAGAATTAATTAATTTTGATTGAGATTCAATTTTTTTTTGATAAGTTTCAAAAGATTTTTCATCAAGCTTTTTAAATTCATTTTCATATCCTTTATGTGATTCTTGTAATCGTTTTCCAAATTCTTCAAATTGTACTGCTTGTTTCTCGATTATTTTATTAATTTTACCAGTTTTATTCACTCGTGTTGACATGATATTTTGAGAGTTGTAGTAGAGTTGTAAAGATAAAGAAAATCGAATGACGTATTTATGTGTAATGGTCGTAGTACAAACAACGGGATTGTGGGAAATTCTTGAAAATTTTGAAATTCAAAATTGACGATGAGAAAATTTATTTTTTCCAACTATAGTAATCTATATGCTTTTCCATTTGAAAATATATATCCTTTCTTTGCATTATTATTTGTTTTAGAATTTAATGTTAAATTTTCACTTTTCTCACTTTTCTCTAATATAATTAATTTTCTAACCCTCTTTTTCATATTTTTACTTAATTTTTTAAAAAGTTTACTTTTCTCATATTCAGTATAATTATTATATATTGAAGGTAATTTTGGTATAATACCTCTATTAATATATTCTTCTAAATTTTGAGAAAGTATTAAATTTTCTTCTTGATCAAATTCATTTGATAAGGTTAAATCAATAAGATAATTTAAAACTTCTTTAGGTTTATCATCCAAAGAATTAAAATAATTTGTTTTAGTATATTGAACGAAATCATCAATTGTAAAAGATTTTTCTAAAACTCTAAAATGTTTTAATTTAAGTCCCAAACTAGAATTTTCTCTTCGAGTAATAATTTGTTGAATTTTAATATGAAGTTGTGCCGAAATAATTTCTTTAATTCCTTGATTTTCTGAATTTAAAGAATTATTAAATGAATCGATTAAAATATCATTTTGATCTTTGGATCTCTTATTAATGGAATTACAAATGATTTCTCGTTCCTCTTGATTTTCTTGATTTTCTTGATTTTCTTGATCTATTTCTTGATCTATTTCTTGATCTATTTCTTGTTGTTTCAATTTTTTTAAATCCTTTTCTTGTTCTTGTTGAAGATTTTGAGATTTAATTTTTGTAATATATCTTTTAATAATCTCATTCATAGTAATATTATATATAGGAGTATTTTGTATTTGTTCATTTTGTTCATTTTGTCCATTTTGTCCATTTTGTTCATTTTTTGAAAAATTCTTTTGTTCATAATCTTCATCATCAAAAAATTTATCTGATTTATCATTTTCTTGTTTTTCAATTGAATTTGGATGATCAAAATTTTTAGAATCTATAGAATCTATTGTTTTTGATGACTCATCATTTTTTAGAAGAGTGGAATCATAATTATTTACATCTTTTTTTTCATTCTTATCATCATCATCATCATCATCATCCTTATCAACTTTATCATCTTTATCATCTTTATCATCCTTATCATCATCCTTATCATCATCATCTTTTTCATCTTTTTCATTAAAAATTTTAATATTCTCATTATTATTATTAATATCAAAATTTTTTTCAATATTAATATTTTTAATATTATGATAAATAAAAAATTTTTTAAAATTTTGTTCTAATGATTCAATACGTGATCTTAAAGAATCAATTAACCGATCTTGATCTTCAATCTTTTTTTTACATTCACATTCAATAAATTCAATGATTCCATTATCATCTTTATTGAAACTATTATTGGGGATATCAACTTTATTGGGGATGTCAACTTTATTAGGGATATCATCTTTATTGGGGATATCAACTTTATTGGGGACGTCATCTTTATTGGGGACATCATCTTTATTAGAACTATTATTTTTATTGTGGATATCATCTTTATTGGTGGAAGTGGAATTATTATTATCTTTATAGAAATTATTATCTTTATTGGATGATTTTTTAATAAATTCGTGATAAAATGATTGTAATTCTAAATTCATATGTTTACCAAATTTTTCAAATTCTTCTGCTTGCCTTTCTATTAAATTACGAAATAATAAAGTTGATTCCATCTTTTGTATGTATAAATTTTTTTTTTTTTTTCAGTGGAAAAGAAAAAGAAAAAGAAAAGAAAAGAAAAATTGGTGAGAGAATTTACATCATAAAGATTTAATTTTATATATATATTAAAAAACTTATGGTAAATTGGTAAATTAGTGGATTATTTGTTGTGTCAGGAGGTAAACCTTAGTGCTTATCTGTTATAGTATGATCTCACTGTGCCACGCACTGCCACCAACGTTGATCAAATGATCGCGTAAATATATATGTAAATGTGTAATTTTATACACAAAAAATCATTTTATTTATCGCTTAAAAAATTACAAAAAGCCACGGCTTATTTAAATGATAAAAAAAAAAGCCAAATATTTATTATTAACTTCTTTTATTATTAATAATAAAAGTATTAATAATAAAAGACAAATGAAAGAAATAATAATAATAATATAAAAAAAAAAAAAAATTTTTTGGTTAATAATATTTCGATATCCCCTTTACCTTTTTTTTTAAAAAAAAAGACACTTAAAAAAAAAAAAAACATTTATAAGAATCATTCCCACATACTGCATTATTACATTAACCAAATTATTTCTTAGGTTCAACTGTAATAATCTTTCTAATTCTCTTCTTTTTCTCATCAGATAATTTTGAGAAATAATTAGTCTTCTCGTAATCAGCATAACTTCTAATTCCAGATGGTAAAGAAGGAATTATCTTTCTTTTGACGTATTCTTCAATAGGTTGGGTAACACGTTTATCCCTGTTGCATAATTCACTTCTTAAAGCTGTTTTCACCATCAATTTAATGGATCTTTTAGGGTCCCTCGATAACGAATTATAATAATTCGTTTCTTGATACTTAATCAAACCATCAAGAGAAAATTGATTCAAGAGATAATTAAAAGTCTTTTGCTTAATTCTTGCATTTTGCTCTTGGAAATGAGCAATAGTATATTGAACTTCAGCTTGAATTCGTTCAATTACGGAAGGAGCCCTCTGTGACCCTTGAAGTGATGATTTATTTTGTGAAGATGAAGTGGAAATAGATGAATGAGGTTTGATTGAAATAGGAGGTAAACAAGAAATATTATCTTTTGGTATTGGGGTGGAGGGTTGTGTAACATAATTGAAATCCTCATTCAATTTATCATTTTTAATATTTAATTCTTTCGATCCAAATTCAGTCGATTTAAGATCAAGTAATAAATCTCTAAGTTTTTGATTCAAATTATTATTAGAATCTTGAAAAGAGCGTTGTGAAGGATTGTATTTAATATCTTCTTCTAATTCATCATCTACTTGATGATCAGATAAGGATTCTTCGGTAGATACTTCCTTTGAATCAGAATCTTTACTCTTTCCTTTAAATAAAGCGGATGAAGATGATGATGAAGAAGACGATGATGATGACGATGATGATGATGATGATGATGATGATGATTTCTCTTTATCTTGATCATTAGTCTCGATCACTCTACGTTCATTAGTATTGTATTTATTATTATTTGAGAAAGATGATTTCACAGAAGTAGAAGATTCACCATAATTCCTAAATGTTGAATGATTATAAAAATATTCATCAAATAATACTGATCCAAAAATTGAAGTTTTTTTATTTTCAACGATAGTAGAATCCTTTTTCTCTATAATTTGATCAGTTGAAGGGATTGGTAATACATCGTTGACACCATAAAGAGTTTTTGGTTGAATATTTTTAAAGATTAATCTTTCTTTTTTAATATCAATTTCATTTGACTGAATATTATCAGCAATTAATCTTTCATTTGACCAAATATTTTCAGTAGTAGAAGATTTATTAATAATATTATTAGAAGTAGGTAATTGTTTTGAATCAGAATCTTTAAGAATAAATTCAAAATCATCACTATCATTTTCTTCAAATAAAGAAATATTTTTCTTAAGATCAAAAGATTGTAAAGGACTTTCAAGACCAAAAAGTAATTTAATTTCTTTTTTAAAATCAAAAAAATCATTTTTAAGTCCATGAATTTCAAGGTCCTTTTTAGTAGAATTAATTTCCAATTCCTCAATACGTGATTTTAGAGAATCTATTAAACGAGATTGAAAATCAAGTTGACGTTGTTGTTTTACTAAAATTATATCCAACTCGGAAGGTTTAGAAATATCATGATTTTTAGTAAAACATTTATAATAATTTTGAACATCCAAACTCATTCGTTTTCCAAAAGTTTCAAATTCTTTAGCGTGTTTTTCTAATAAAGTAAATAAAGTATCAGATGGAGATAAAGTTTTTTTATTATTAAAAGTATCAGATTCCATTTTTTTTTTTAAAGAGAAAGAAAGAAGAATATAAGATATTTCTAAAAAGTGTGGGAAATGAGGAAAAGGTGTAAAAAGATGATAACGGAGTAGTAATACCAGATGATTATATCCCCACCCTAATTGTTGCTTTTTATAAATTTAACGGATACATTTGTAGTACAAGACTGACAAATCATGATAGACTGTGGCGCAGTCGATAAGTTATTTTTGTAGCACACACGATCATAATGGAAATAATACGTCAAAAATGGTCACTTTCCGTATATGAAAACAATTAGAGTTGGGGAACGAACCCTTTTTTTTATTATTATTATTATTATTGTTATTATTATTTATATAAGATATACTTGTAAAAAAATTTTTTTTTCGGTTTTAAAAAAATAACTTTTTTTTTTTTTTCTTGTCAATCATCTAAATAAAAGTGACAAAAGCCTCTTTTTTTTTTAGATTTGTTTTTGTTTCCATGATCTGGATGTTTTTTTTCTTATTTAGGATATAAGGATCGAAGAACTCGTGACTGTAAAAAAATTTCACGAAAGTAAGCTTTATGCATTTAATAATTACGCTACCATAATATACGTCATAAGATTTTACATGTGATCCTCCCCAAGCATTTAATAAGGGTAAATTACCCTCAATCTAAATTTCTTCGTCCTTTAAAATATTAAATATATATGAAAATTAGATGATAAATTAATATGACAAACAATTATTCGTAAAAAAAGAATATATTTGAATATTTGAATGATAATTTAATTTTATTTTATTTTATTTTTTCTTTTTCTTTTTATTTTATTTTATTTTTTTTCCTAATTATTAAATTTTTTTTTTTTTTTTCGTTATAGGTATATTTATGGAGGAAAAATTTCTTTGGAGGAGTGTGATCCTTCTGATATCATTAAAATCNTGATAATAGCACATGAGACCAGTCATATGATCAACTATAAACAGTAACGGAATAACTTTTTTTAAAAAAAAAAAAAAAATTTTTTTTTTAAAAAAAAAGTTCGTACTAACAGCGGTTAATTAACGAATACAGTAATGTAAATGTAAATAGTAATGTAAATATACTATATATGAATAACACTATATATAATAATATATATATTTTTTTTTTTTTGCAATATATTTTTTGCAATATCAGATAATAATAATTTTGCAATATCAATAAATAATATCAGGTAAATAAAAATTTTTGCAATATATATCAGGTAAATAATAATATTTTGCATAATATATCAGATAATAATAATATAATCAGGGATATAATCAGAGATAATAATAAGATAGATAATATATAGTTCATATAATTATACTTTTTTGTTATGATTGTTATTGTTACTAGTATAATTTTAGTCAATTCTAAGTCGTATTATAATAAAGATTAAATGAATATAATTTTTTTTTGAAACTTGTTTGAAAAAATAAAATAATAACAGAATTAAAAAAAAAAATGATTATTCCTACGGAAGAAATAATTCAACAACAACAAAATTTTGAACAATTATGTGAACGTATCAAATATTTAGATATACAACAACAAACAAAAGTTAATAATATCATTAATAATAATCCTAAATTATATTCAACTCAACTTCCTTCAATTAATGAAATGATAGATAATCAATCATTAATAATACGTATGGGAGAATTAGAGGAGAGAATAAATTTACAAAATCAAGAAATTGAAAATTTAAGAAAAGAATTTTCAGAATTAAATGAAAAATTAACTTTATTAGTTCAATTAGAAGTAAATGTTCAACTTGAATCAAAATTCAATTATATGAAACAAGAATTCGATAATTATAAGAATGAATTGAATTCAAGATTTAATAATAATAATAATAATATTAATAATATTAATGATAATGATCTTAATAATAATAATAATTATAATTATAATAATAGAATAGCATTTGATAATACTACTCCTCATTATAATAATTTTGGAAATATTCATAAAGAATTACAAAATCTTGCAAATGAATTAAATAATGATCGAGAATCTTTTACAGAAAGAATGAATTCTTTAAGAAATATGTATAATAATCAATATAATTTTAATTTTTAATTAATACCAGATACAGTATTTTATAATTAATTTATAATGACTCTTATTTTAATATAAAATCGTCCTAACTTCCCGAGATCTGATCTGATCTGATATCTCATTTTTTTTTACCTGAAATCTTATTTTCCCGAGATCCTGTTTTTTTTTCTTAATAAATTCACTTTTATCCCGTTTTAATTTGCGTGGCTGTTCGAATGTCATTTTATGATGTGAATTACTCTTTTAAAATCGTCAGTTTGATGTAAATATCACGTAAATAATCCTAATATAAAACGAAACAAGATTATATGATTAACGAAATATTGATATCATATGATTCCATATATTTTGTACTACAATGATGTAATTATTTAAATTAAGGCGTAATTTATGATGATTATCAAAATAACAAAAGTCAAAGATAATTTATGAAAATTAATTAACATAAAATTAAATTAACGTTTATTAGAAAAATTTAAGAAAATTTGACTAATCCAATTATAATATATATTATATTATATTTTTTTTGTCGGGAGTTTCAAAAGTTTCAAAATATAATTATCTTTTTTGGTAATAATAAATTTTTATTAATTATTTTTTTAGCGGGAAGTAATTTCATTTGATGTTATTTCAAAAAGGCGCGGTTACCATAATTAATTTCATTAAATTTCATTAATTTCTTCATTACATGAATTTCACGTGTACTCTTGTTGTTCTCTTTTGTCAATCTTTTGATCATTCCGATAAATTATTATTTTAGTGGTACAATTTAGTTTTTCCGGAATTCTCGTCTTTTCTTTTTGTGCTACGATTAAAATTCTGTCCTTTTTTTTTTATAATAGGGAAAAAACATTTCACATCGCGATAATAATAATAATATATATTACTTAATAAATGTATTCGAGTATTTTAAAAAAGTTATTAAATATCATTTTCATAACGAAATTACGAAATTACGAATATATAAACTATAAATAAATTAAAAACGTTTAAAAAATTTAACAAATATTTACAAATATTTAACAAGGATTTTTTTGATAAAATTTCCCAATTTAATAATATATATCATATATATAAAAAAAAAAATTCTCAATGAATTTAAAAAAAAATATTTTCATTTTTTTCATGGAAAAATTGAAAAAATTGAAAAAATTATAAATTTGTTATATAATTAACAATCAAATATGTATTCTGTATTAATAGGGTTACAAAAATAATTTTCGTGATCTGGTTGTATACATTATATTATTCATTTAATTTCAAAATTTGCTAATAATAAATACAACTTTAATTAAAAAAATTTCAAATTTGATTTGTTTAAATTTTTTTTTTTTATTATTATAAAACATAAAAAGAAATTTATTATAAAACATAAAAAGAAGTTTATTATAAAACATAAAAGTCGAATAAGTAAAAAAAAAAATAAAAATAAAAAAAAAATGTATTAAATATACCAATAATTCAATTATTATAATTAAAGCCAATAATTTTAATTGAAAAGTAAATTGAAATTTTGGAAATTGTAATTTATTATATGTAGCGGATGATCCTATGATTACAATACATTGGATTACTTTCAACTCAACAAACCCCAACAACCCAGCATATAAACAAACAATAAAAAATTCCTACATATTTTTTTTTTTTTTCTTTCCTTAATTCCCATAAATTTTTCTAAACGAGAATCGGCCGCAGTAATTATGTTTTTCCGGATTTGATGTCAAAAATGTATTAAGCCCCTTTTTTTGTGTGACTTTTCTTGAGAAAAGCATGAGATCTTTCTCACCTTTTTTTCCCTCACTTTAAAAAAAAAAAAAAANAAAAAAAATTTTTTCTTCTTTTTAATTTTTTTTTTTTCTTTTAATCTTAAAATTATCATGGAACCCCCTTTGGAAGTTCCTTTCTCAATTCAAAATAGGCTTAATAATTTATCCATTTCTAAAGATATTACGAATAATAATGTTTTTTCAAATAAACCAGAATCTTTATTTCAAAATGTCGTAAAACGTGCTCAAGTTTTTGAAGAATTTAGTAAACAAATAAGTTTAGAATTACAAACATTATATCAAGAATATTTAACTCATCAAATCGAAACTGAACTTCAAATTACTATGAATAATATTAAAAAAAAAAATTGTAAATGTAAAGAACAAATTGAAGAACAAAAACAATTAATTAACTCTTTAAAAGGTAGAATTATTAAATTAGAATCAGAGTCTATTACTAAAAATCAAGAGATTTCAAAACTTAATGAAGATATTGATAATTTCCTTGAAGTTAATAAATTAAGAACTGAAGGTGCTAATACTATTGTTAAAAGAAAATCTGTAACATTTAATGATGAAGTTTTAGATGAAAAAAATAATCATGATGATACAATTCAATATCCTTCAGAAGAATCATCATCTTTTAATACTAATACCGAATTAAAATCTATCGAATTGGAAACTAAAGAAGATGATGAAAAATTAAAAAAACCAGAAAAGTTAAAAACTACTTCTTTCGATTATGAAAATGAGAATCTTTCGAAACAAGATGACCAAATCATCACTCCCACGTCTCCCACGACTCCCACGATTCCAACGACTCCAACAACTCCAACGATTCCTACAACTCCTATGATTTCTACAATTCCTACTATTTCTACGACTTATTCAAATCCTATGACTCCTACGACTCCTACTACGCCTATATATACGATTACGATGGACGAAATTATTAGAAAATATATCGATAAAGTTAAAAAAAATGATCAACAAAAACAACCGAAATTGGAACAGGAAATAAATCCGGTAAATCAGGAAATTCAAGAAAATCAAGATTATAACCAGAAAGTTTTCGATAATAGTTATATTGAAAGTAACTGGAATGATGATGATTCCGATAAGAACATTACTGATAATGATAAATGGAAAACAGAAAGTCAAGATGATAATATTTCTTTAAACGATTACGATTCAAATAAGAACATTAATGAAGATGATAATTGGAAACCTTGGAAATCCGAAGAAGATACTTCTTTAAGTGATAATCATTCTAGGAATGTTAATGATGATGAGGATAACTGGAAATCTGAAAGACAAGATGATGATGATACTTCTTTGAATGATAATAATAATAAAATTATATATGAAGAGGATGATGAGACCTCATTTAATAGGAACGCTAACGGTAACGCTAATGAAAATGGTACCTGGGGATCTGAAGGAACTTCACTTAATAAAAACGTTAATGAACGAGATAGCTGGGGTGCTTGGGGATCCGAGGAAGTTTCATATAATAATAGAAATGAACAGGATAGTTGGGGAGCTTGGGGATCGGAAGGGGCTTCAGTTAATAGGAACGCTAATGATGAGAATAACTTGAATTCTTGGAGATCGGAAGAAGTACATGATAATCATTCTAGGAATATTGATGAGAATAACTGGAGATCGAAGGATCAAGATGATGACGTCCCATATAATACTCCTTTAAATAATGATGATTACAATAGGAATGTTAGTTACGAGAATGAAGACTGGAAATCGAAGAATCAGGATGATGACGTTCCCTATAATGTTCCCTATAATGTTCCTTTAAATCACAACGAAGACCGGAGATCGAAGGATCAAGAAGCTGTCTCTTATACACATCTAGATGTGTATAAGAGACAGCTTTAAATCATAATGATTCCAATAGGAATGTTAGTTACGAGAATGAAGACTGGAAATCGAAGAATCAAGATGACGACGTTCCCTATAATGCTCCTCTAAATCACAATGAAGGCTGGAGATCGAAGGATCAAGATGACGACGTTCCCTACAATGCTCCTGAAGACTGGAGATCTAAGGATCAAAAAGACGACGTTCCCTATAATGCTCCTGAAGACTGGAGATCTAAGGATCAAGAATATGACGTTCCCTACAATACTCCTTTAAATCATAATGATTCCAATAGGAATGTTAATTCCGAGAATGAAGATGCCTCATTTAATAGGAACGTTAATGAACGAGATACCTGGGGAGCTTGGGAATCAGAAGGATCTTCAAATAATAAAAATAATAATAAATATGCAAATGAACAGGATACCTGGGGAGCTTGGGGATCAGAAGGTGCTTCATCTAACAGAAATGTTAATAAACAGGAAAGCTTGGGAGCCTGGGAATCGGAAGGACCTTCTTATAATATCAATAAACAGAAAAGCTGGGGAGCTTGGGAATCAGAAGGATCGTCTTATAATAGAAATGTCAATGAACAGAAAAGCTGGGGAGCTAGGGAATCAGAAGGACCTTCTTATAATAAAAATGTACATGAACAGGGTACCTGGGGAGCTTGGGGATCGGAAGGTGCCTCGTATAATAGAAACGTTAACAATAATGACTACTGGGGATCAGAAGTTCAAGAAGAAGGTACCTCTTCATATGGTAATCGTCCAAATAGAAACGTTAATAATGAGAGGATACCGGGTGGTCAAGACGATGATGCTTCATATAGTGCTTCTTCAAGTGATGATGATTCTAATGAACATGTTTTCCTTCTTAATGATGCGAATAGCTGGAGATCAGCAGTCCAAGAAGACAGCACTTCAAGTAGATTTGTTAAGAGAAAGAATAGTTGGAGTTCGGAAGTTCAAGCTTATAGTGCCTCGTCAAGTAATAATGATTTCAATAAGAACTTTAATAATGATAATTTTAATAGAAATGTTAACGAGGACAATTGGAAATCAGATGTCCATTCAGATGCTTCATATAATTCCAATAATAAGAACTTTAATAAGAACGTCAATGAAAGGTATAGCCGAAAATCGGGAAATCAAGATGATGTAAGCAACAATAATCTTAATTATGAGAACAGTCGGAGATCAGATGTCCATTTAGATGCTTCATATAATTCTAATAAGAACTATAATAATAAGAACGTCAATGAAGGGTATAGCTGGAACCAAGAAGATAATTTTAATAGAAATGTTGATTATGAGAGCAACTGGAGATCGGAGACCCATTCGAATGCTTCATATAATTCTAGTAAGGACTTTAAGAACGCCAATGAAGGGCATAACTGGAAATCAGAAAACCAAGAAGACACAATCATTAATAGAAATGTTGATTATGAGAGCAACTGTAGATCAGATACCCATTCGAATGCTTCCTATAATTCTAATAAGGACTTTAAGAACAACAATGAAGGACATAACCGGAAATCAGAAAATCAGGAACACGCAAGCAATAGTAGAAATGTTAACTATGAGAACAGTCGGAGATCGGAAGCTCAATCAGATGCCTCAATTAATTCGAATAACAAGTTTAATAAGAAAGCAGACGTAAGCAGTAATAACTTTAATGACAATGTTAATCGTGAGGATAGTCGTAGATCAGCGGACCAAGTATTTGCTTCATTTAATACTACCTTAAATAATAAAGAACCTAATAGGAACGTTATTAGCGAGAGCAGTAGGAAATCAGAAGTTAGACAAAATGCTACCAATTTAAATAATGATTCCAATAGGAATATTAATGAGAGCGGCTCTAGGTTGGAAAATCGTTCATCTCTTTCATCAGACAATTCAATAATTTCATACTCACAACTTGATTCAATCTCCCAAGAAACTCAAGCTAGAATTAGTCAAATAGATTCACAACTTGATTCTCATATTCAACAAGCTTATAATAAACAAGTGAGCTCTCAACTTCATACTCAAATTTTGGACATTACTTCCAGAAGAGAAACCTGTAGCACAGGAACTAAATCAAAACACTTTAAACTTTTAAAAAAATGTTTTTCGACTAGTGATTTTATTCAATACACAAAAACAAATTATTTTAATACTTTAGATGATAGTGCTAAAAAAAGTATAAACCTCCTCATTGATATAAGTTTATCAGAAGAGTTCGCACCAGAAAAGATAACACTTTCTCAAGATTTAGAAGAGTATACTAGAAGAAAAATAATCCCAGAATTACCCCAAGGATACACTACTTATACTAAATATGAGAAAAGTGAAATGTTTGAAAAATTGAATAAAATTTTTAAAGAAAGAATTAAAAAATATATCATATTGGAAAAAAGAAAATTTGATCTTGATGTTTAAATCAATTTTTACAACCTTCTGTAGATTATATGCTTGAGAATGTACTAGTAGATATGGGAGAGGATGCAGATAATTGTAATGAAAATTGTAGGGAAATAGGGGATAGAGGCTGTAGTAAAAAAATTTTTTTTTTTTTAGAATTTTTTTTTTTGTGTGTATATAGTCTGTCTCTTATACACATCTAGATGTGTATAAGAGACAGATTCTAAGTCGTATTATAATAAAGATTAAATGAATATAAATAAGGTAATAATCTCTCTAGAAAAAAAAAAATATATAAATAGTCCTTTTTCTGTCTCTTATACACATCTAGATGTGTATAAGAGACAGCTGTTAACTTNTTTAAAGTATTGTATTAAAAGTCAAAAATAAATAATATTAGCCTATTAAGTAAAACATTAAAAATTGTTTCTCATTTCTGCAAATCTAATTTTAGGTAAAAAATTGGTTCTTATTTTATGGATTTAAAATTTTAAGATTGGTAATCAGTATTTTTATTTAAAAATTTTATGTAAAAATGGTAATCCCAAATTTTAAAAAATTAAATAATCTGTTAATTTCTTAATTAATTATTATACATATATTATTATTATTATTATTAAAAATTATAAAATGAAATTTACTTTGCAAAACAATGATCATCATCTTTATCATATAATAATACCAAATCATCAATTCCAGATTCTTCACATTCATCATTATATATAGTACTGAATTATCAATTCCAGATTTTTCAAATTCATCAATTATAAAAACCAATTTTTTAATGTTATATTATCTTATGGAAAAAAATTTTACAATAATTAGTAGGTTATTTAAAAATAAATTTAAAATTTTTTTAAAATTTAAGTTTACCAGTTTACTATTTTTTTTTTTTTTCCACAACGCATTTAATAGTTTATTAATCAGTTAATTGACTTCAGAAATTACATATAGTAACAAAATACCTAATCTAACTATCTAATATCATTAACTACTAAACCATTCGTCATGCTACTTGAGCATCCCATGTGTGCACTGTCGGGTGAAGTTTTTGCTCAGAGGATATGGTTCGTGTAAAACAGCCATTCTTAGCATATTTGCCCTTTTTCTACGCAAGGCATTTACAAGATCTACCCAGTTTACTATTTTACTTTTTATATAAATATATAAAATTTTAAATAAAACTACTAATTATTATTTTTAAAATTTTAAATCCATGAAACAAAAACTAATTTTATATTCACCAGTGATTAATTTAAAATTAATTTACCAGAAGGTGAATTTTACCTCTGGTGAAATTCACCAGTAATATAATTTTAGTTTTATATTAATTTTATTTGTATTATGTTTTACAATTTTATATACATAAATAAAAATTTTTTTATAAATTTTTTTAAACTGTAACTTTTTTTCCAAATATACTATTAAATCCATACAACTTAATTTCATAAATTAGAAATGAAATTTATAGAGAAATTTGTATTTTTTTATAATATTACTAACTGTTTAACTCCTAAAGTTTTATATTTTTTTATTTAATAACTTTAAAATGTAATTTTACCACTTTAATCAAATGAAATTAACTTCTTTTATTAATTGAAAGTTGTTCAACAGAGCCAAAATTACTTATATATTAATTTTTATAAGTGTAGGTATAATATATATAAAGAAACCTATATTTTTCATAATAGTACTAACTTTTAAATTTTTTTTTTATTTATTAACTTCAGAGCGTAATTTCACCACTTTAGTCAAATGAAATCAACTTTCTAAATTAATTGAAAATTATTCAACAAGATCAAAACTACTTGTATATTAATTTTATGGGTGTAGGTATAGAGAAATCTACATTTTTTATAATAGTACTAACTTTCAAATTTTTTTTCTGTTTATTAATTTTAGCACGTAATTTTATTACTTTAGTCAAATGAAATCGATTAAGTAATCCCAAAAACTGTTTCCTTAGGGAATGATCAAAGCAACAGCAACAGCAGCAACAGCAAAAGCAGCAACAGACTTTTTAAATCAATTGAAAATTGTTCAGCAAATTCAAAACTACGTTATATTAATTTTATGGGTATAGGTATAATACATATGGATATTTTTCATAATGGTACTAACTTTCAAATTTTTTTTCTATTTACTAACTTTAGAATGTAATTTTACCATTTTAGTCAAATGAAATTAACTTTCTTTATTAATTGAAAGTTATTTAGTGATATAAAATCTACTTAATACTTGTAAGATTTATCACATTTTTTATAATAATACTAACTTATGAATTAATATTGTATAATATATTATTATATTTAAATTATATACTTTATATAAAAATACTTTTATTAATAAAATTATTAGTTTTTTCAAAACAAAACAATTAAACTTTTAATAAATTATGTGATATAGGTGAACTTTACCTTAGGTGAATTTTACCCCTAATAAATTTACACTTAATGAATTTCATCACTGGTAAATGTTAAGATTACTCTTAAATAAAATAAAAAATTAAAAATAATTGCTTCTATAAAAATTTATATTAATTTTGATTTTATAGGATATATTTTTATAAGTAAATATTTTAAAAAGGTAAAATATTAAAAAAAAAATAACTAATATTAAATAATTGGGAAAATATTATTGGTGACCCATATCGCCAGTGTAACCTTAAATTATGTGATCAAATTTGATTGGCTAACTAATATTTACAATTATGTCAGCCTTCAGTTATTTGTTATTATTTTCCTCCCTCCTTTTTTTGTTTCCTTTTCTCTTTATTTTCGCTTTACTTGTTTATTTTTTGACTTTTTTTTTCATTTTATTTCTCTTTTCTCTTTTTTTGATTTTATTTTCCTTTCCTTTTTTCCTTCTTTTTCATTTTTTTTTTGGTATATTTTTTCGTTCATTCTTGCTATTTTTTGTTTTTTCTTTTTTTATAGGTCTTTAGGTTCTTACAGTTTTACAATTAAGGTACATCCTTTTTTTTCTTACCATTGTTTTTTAATTTGTTTTTTACTGACTCTCTATGCTGTTCTTTAACTCCTTCCTTTTCAACATTATGTGATGCGTTTTACTCTTAACTTCACAAGTTTTGTTATTATTTTGTTCTTTAACTCACTTGTTTATAAGTTTCATTTTTAACCTTATTATAGGCTTTTTTTCACGTTGAGTATAAAGCTCCGAACGGTTCGGTTTGGTCTGGATTATAGACGGTTCAGATTAGAGTCGAAATCCGTAAGAACCAAACTGAAAAACTGGCAGTTCAGTTCAGTTTAATCCGATTTTTATAAAAATGCGAAAAATCGAATAGCCGGCCATCTAGTGATCGTATAAATTCGAGCCATATATCATTGGATTCATCTCGACGAGACGCGTCGAATGGGGGTAAGATCATGTCTCTAGCATCGATAGATCATACG